TCGGAAATTAATTAGCAGATGGAACATATTAGGATTTAAATTTGTCCCTGTCCATAGACAATCGTTCAGTGATAGCTGCCCGAACTCATGTGAGCTGCCATCAAACACTATTCTAGTCTTCGTTGAAGCACTGGTTTCTCTAAAATACCGGTTGGTGTGGTAGGTAAAATACTGGTTTACCGATAGGTATATTTCCATCTGACACTCTTTTCAATGATACCTTGCTTGAGATAATCATCTAATATTTCACTATATGTAGAAAACAGTGTTTTGTCATAATTCATTCGCTTTGCAAGAGTTTTTAATCTATTTTCCGCTACTCGGTAATTATCAGCTAATTCCCTCCAGTCCCTTTTCCAAGGTAAAGTAACCTCGTAGCGACCAGCTTTAAAACAAACTGTCTTATTAAATATTTCCAATGCTTTGTCTTCCTCATGACAATAAGGATCATCTTTAAATTCCTAATGATTCTAGTTCGAAAAACATTTCAATTCACTCTCTGAATTATCATTTATTAACCCACAATACGATAAATTATTTCTCCGTGAATCATTTACATTTCCACTAACTATATATCCAAACACACTATTTTGTAATATCAAGCCTGTGTTAGGAACATAGATTTTACCAGCTCGTAACATATCATAAAAAAACTTCCGCGCCGAGCAACAGGTTTACTTTCTCTGGTTTATAAAATTCCGGATCCGCTAAACCTTTCAGGAATCACAAGGTTACTAACATCGATAAACTTTGCGGGAGTTAAACCTGCTATTTTTGGAATTACCAAAACCTCTAGTTTCCTTTTATACGTTTGTTCCTGATTACAGATAAGGGCAACTGCTTTTCTTTTTATCGTAGTTGAAATACCTGATGATATACTGCAAACCGAAATATTTGTCTTTTCCCTTTTTAAATTAAGTATATCCGCTAATTCAGTGGTACAAAAACAAGAAACACTTCCACTATCACATAACGCTTTCACCTTAATTAAAGTTCCATCATTAGTCTCAATGAATACAAAGGCAGTAGATAAAAATCGGTTTTTCCCACTGTTAGTACCCGTAGCGGCTGTAAAGGTTTCGTTTTGAGTTTTAGCTTGAAATGCAGGTGCGTGTACATTTAACGCATTGCTGTTTTGATCACCCAACTCCTGATCTGAAGTGTCTGCTCTTTCTACTGTGGTGCCAACGGAATTATTTTTCGTTTTGATAACACAAGAGAAAGCTATGTTTTTCTTACTTTTTTTCTTAAGCACAAGAGAAAGCTATGTTTTCTTACACTTCTTGCACAAGTAATTAGAACGGCAATTTCTCACACTGTGCAAATTAAAACAACAAAAACATAAATTCTGTTTTTTTCACAAATTCTACCCTTTCTTTTACACTTAATTTCTGAAATTTAGGACAATTAAAAAGCTTGTGATTGCTCAAATTACATAACCTACACGAATTCTGCATATGTTTTTCATTTGCATTAGAAACGACAGCGGTAACTCTATGTGTAACTTTTTTTGTGTTAGTCACACTCTTTGAAGCGTTGAGAGTTCTTGCATGATCTTTAAGAAATTCTATAAGATCTGTTAAATTAGGCAAATTTCTCTTTCTCTAATTTTCTTTCCCACCATATTTTGGTGTTAGGATCTAATTTTTGCCCTAAAATGTATGCAAATACATTGGAAGAAAAACCGTTAACACTCTGATTTAAAACTTCTAATGATCTCATGCATTCATTTTTAATGTCAATTAAGTTTAATATTGCTGACGCAGACTTATTTTGCATAGGATGCATATTCATAAATCATCTCAGATGAGCATACACTTGTTCACGGTAATTAGAGAACCTTTCTTCTAGTAATGAAAAGGCTAATTTATAATTAGAGTCAACTATGGATATTGACTGCCCAATACGATAAGCATCTCCTCTTAGCGCAGATTTTAAGTACTGTAATTTGACTGCATCTGTTAAGTTAGGATTTGAATCAACACTGGCTAAAAAGATATCTTTAAATGAAAGCCACTCATGTAAGTTACCCGAAAACGTTGGCAAATTAATTTTCGGTAATTTAACGTTGTTCTCAGTATTCGTGCAAACCGAAGGCTCCGATTTAATTTCTTTGGAAAGTTTAGCTAATTTACGATTTAATTCGACTTCTAGATCTAAGAAAATATCGTCAATCTCTTCTATCTCTTTTACATAAGCATCAGTACTTTCTTCCGTACCTAACCCGAACAAAGAATCGAAATTAGAATTTATTTCTGTCTCAAACACTTTAAATTTATCCTTTAATACTTCCAAGTCACTTCCTTGGACATTTTCGTCCGCAATTTTTTGATTTAAATTCGTTAACTGCGTTTTTAATGTACGTTTTTTTGCTAATATCTCCTTTAGTGACATTTTAATTAGCAAAAGTCAATAAACAAACAAAGAGCTTCAAAATGGTACAATGAGCTTCAAAAAGGAGGAGGGTACTTACCCTTTTAATTCTACAGAACTTCAATCTGGAAGTATCCTAAGTAATTCTTCAATTTACAAACTGAAAGTAATATCACAGTCTCATAAACTTCATTAGCTGTTCCGGCTCTGATCGGCCACAAAACTTGAATTGACTTATTTTATTTCCTGTCGATAGCTGTATATCATAATAAAATAAATCCACACACATTACACAGTTTCAATACATTTATTTTCCAAAGCGACACTCAGGCGCTAGGTTTCACCTCACAGCGTAACATATGAATCTCAACTTCCAATGTACCACAAAATCAAGTTTCTCACAGAATACATTTCAATGCCAACTCCGGCGGCACATGCGCCATTAGCCAAGATTCCACTCTGGCACCAAGCATTTCTCAGCTAATACAAAACACTTATCAACTTTTTAGTATTAAGCACACATTTTGGTAGAAATATATGACAACAGAAAAAAATCTGTAAAAATTTATTGATTTTCCATAATGAGAATTTCAAGAAATTAAAACTATATACTTAAAACATAGGCAGTATTTTATTCACTGGAAATAATTTAGTAACTTAATAAGAATTACTAATTGATGTACTGTAAATAGTTTTATTAGTGTCTGCCACCATTGCTATTGTCTGTTGGTTTGAACTGATTACATCTAGTCTGTCCTAGATGCAGGGAAAAAACTGTTTTCTCTCGGCAGAAAGCTAAGCTTAGTAGATAGTAAATTCAGGTACTTTAACTGTCTTTGAATGTATTACTGGTAATCACTGATAAAGCTTTTAGGTTTCACTGTAATGCAGTAAGCTACAAATTAGTCCACTAAAGCATACATAAAATATCTGGTGATTTCAATTTATAACTGATATGAGAAACATGCAAAGAAGTGTGCTCATGCACAAAAGAAAGGAAAACTCAATGGTCATAAAAGAAATTGTATTTACTTATTTGCTACTAACAACAAGGAAACAAGAGTATCAACTAACAGTTCTGTTCCAAGTGCATGAAAAGAAATTTATTCTTTTATTTAAAAAATATTCAAAATACTGCTTAAAAAGTGAAAATTATGCATTTTTTTAACATATGGATTTTTTTTTTGAATTAAAAAAGCTAATCTGTGAAGATTAAAATTAAATTAATTAGATTAAAATTAAGTTTCAGTACTGGAATATAATCTAGCTTTCTATTAAAATTACACTTAACTGTTACTGATTAAAATGAGTAGATTAATGAATATGTTTATTTTCATAAACATTCTTATTAATCTGCTTAAATTCTGCTGATATAATAAATGGAAATTATGTGATGAAATATTTTTAGTATTAAGGGATTGGTGAAATGTTTTTCCCCTCCAGTAGATTATATTACTGTTAAATAGATATCAAACATGTTTTACAGGAACAGTCTGTTAGAGGGGGGGGGAATTCATGTTTAAAAATAAAAAAATTAAATGAATAAATAAAAGGTAGGGTTGGGTGGAGTGGTGGGGTGTGAAAGCAAGTATTCACACTTGAATTGAGATTAATTAATTGCCATTGAATTCACTCAGGGCGAGTGCATAAATTCTCACTAAATGGTTTTTGCTTCCCTTTTTCAACAGCGTGTTGTAAGGGGAAGAAGGAATTGGCCTCATTCTCCCTGCCACAATTCATCATGCTATGTCTGCTGTAATGGTGTAGAGAAATTCTTCAAGCTTGGAATTTTTACTGGTCTAATCAAGAAAACAGTGGGGGGGGGAATCATAGAACAGTTTTTGATAAATTTCATTTTGAGGCAAGTATCTTCATTCATCAAGGAAAGATATATTTCAGTCACAAATGTGACCTGTCCTTTTTTGCGCTTACCACGCATTGTTGTCTAAAAATAAATTAGGCCTAAGTTCGAGTATCTTCTTCATACTTACAAAAAATAATAGGACATAGATTCGAGAACAGATCAGCAGGAGTGATTTTTTTCATGTTCAATATTTTGTCGACGGTTTATTTACGAAGATTATTATAGATTGCCACTTGTCTTATGATCGTAATCTGGCTATGATAGAACTCAAAGGATGGTGGAATTTGTTGTGTCTCTTTGGAAATACTTTAATTTCATTTAGCTCTGGAGATGAGTGTCTCGGTTTTGACGAAGGAGATTAAAAGGTTTTCTTTCCCAGATATATTGGGTGTTTGCAGAAAGTATTACTTTGTATTTAAAATACTGTAAATTCATTATAATGATCAGTAATAAAGTTTTATCCTTCCAAATCCTGATACCATGATCATAAAAACTTATTTCATCTGAAATTACAAATGGGAAATAAAACATACTATGAGAATTCAGGCAATTGTAGAAATATATAATAATAAAAGCACTTTTTTACTAAAATGTATAAGAAGCTCCTTATTATGTTTGTATGTAGTATTGCTCATATATGCATGATTTCCTTAAGCCAATTTTCTGAAAATATTTTTGATATCAACTTTAGAAATTATTTCTTATTTAAAATCAAATCTATTATGTGTATGAAATAATATTTTAAATTTTTATCATTTTATAGCCAAAACAAAGAAGGAAGGAATACCATAATTTAAGAAAATTTGATCATTCAGAGGTAAACTTTTTTTATCTTTTTTAGAATGTTGTGGTTCAAGGACAGTTGCTTTCCATTCAGTCACCATTTTCATGTTTTTATGGGTGTCAATTTTAATATATTGTGCATATTTGGAAATCAGAATAAAAAATTAACATTTAAATTATTTTAAATATGTATTTTGTTTGGAAGAAACTACAGTTACGTGAAAAAGTTTAGAAAAAGAGGATATTTGAAGAATTTAACATAGAATTAAAATTTTTGAGTTGGAAAACGAGGTAACCAAAAATTCTTGTGATCTGAGATTGTCAGAAACAGATAAACATGCAGCACATGTTACTGAGTGTTAAGTCTTGAAATAATCTCTATCGGCATCTAGCACTTTTTGGCAATGTTTATGCAGCTTTGTAATCCCATCCCCTGGTGATAAAATTCTGGGATCATGGATGCAAAGAAGTCTGAACTACATGCTACAGTTATGCTTCATTACCAAAAGATTTCCCACAGAAGTGGTTGTTTAGGGATTGAAACATGTGGTAATTGTGAGCACTAGGTATAGAAAGCACAGTGTTTCCCTGACAAGTCTTTGAATGGTGTCCCAAATCGTCTTGCATTATCGTAGAAGTATAGCGTACCTTTGCAATTAATCTGTGCTGGCTTTTTCTGCTGCAATTCATGTTGCACCCATTCTAACTGTTGTGAGTACAGGTCCTCAGTGATGGGATGAGCTGGTGATAATAGAACTTAATGCACAACATGATCTTGTGTGGTGCAGAAGTGGTCTTTAGGTGTGGCACAGGGTCACTTGATGATAACCAATGCCTGGAAGTGCCATACAGGACACAGTTTCCTTCACTTGTGAGTATTTGACCAAATATGAGTGAGTTGTCATACCAAAACAGCAATGACAAACAGTTCATTACTCATTATTACTTGGCTGCTGATAATCTGGATGTTATCCAGTTGCTCAAGTGTTTGGCACGTTCACCACACATTTGACTACTGTCCTTCCATTTAACTGCCCTCAGGACTTTGTCATCCAATACCTGTGATCACCCACAATGGGATTTATTACAAATGTCATCAGATCTGTCAATCTGAACATATGGAATCAATGCCTGGTAATGCCTTCATTCTCAGTATCCTCTCCAGATGCCCAAAATATTTAACAACTTCATGCATATGTTGACAAGGCCTACTCTAGAGTCATAATACAGCAAACAATCACAAAAGAATTGCTTTGAATTCCATTTCTTTCTGACATTGGATGACCTGTGATTGCTGTGTGTGCACAGTGTGTCTGTATTAGTGCAAGTCACTATCTTTATCAAATAGAATGTAAAAAACAAGATCTTTTTTAGTTACCTTGTCATAGCTACCAACTCTCGTAGTTTTATGCTACATCCCTCAGTCTCACAATTGACAATCAACTTCATTGATTTTTAGTTTTTAGCCTTTACTAAAGAAATTATTTTCCAACAATAATGGAAATTTATTGAATTCATGGAACTTAAATTGTACAAATTTCATTCCCCCAACCCCTAGTTGCTTCCAGCATAATTTTTCTCACAAAATGAATTTGGTCTGAATTGTTTAAATCTACTGTAGACATTTGTAAACAAGATTCAATCAATGTTTAATCAGTAAATATTTGTATTTAATTTTGTTTTTCATCAACATATGGAAAGTTTACCCACACAAATAGTATGTACATTAATTCTTAATTTTTATTTTATTTAAAATCATGGATATTTTACTTAAGTTTATTAAAATAAAATTTTCCTTACCTTCTTGGGATTTTCTCAGAATTAAAGTATATAAGAAAATTACAAACTGAAATTAGCCAAAAAAACATGAAATTTAGAACATCTAATTAATACCAATGTATTTTTACATCAAAATCATATCATAAATAATTAAATAACCTGAATCATGGGTTATAAAGTGAATTTAAGTTAGTTTATGTTTTATGTATATAAGTTATTTTGAAATGGCACTTCATAGTGCAAATACTTCCCAGAATTTCTTAGTTTCAATCTGATGACCTCTCGGTTTTTCATATTTCAAGACTGAGGGCTGTGCTGTGAACTTTAGTGTGTCAGTGTTATTAAAATCTTGATAAGCTGGCTCACTGAAGATATAAATCAGTGTTTCCCAATCTTTTTTGTGCTATGTCCCACCTAATCCTCTCTAAATTTATTATGCTCCCCCTAGCACATACATAATTTTTAATATTAAAAAATTGAAATGTTCATGAAAGGAAGTTGAGTGATTGGTTTTAGGAAGAAATCACCAGGAAATTTTGTGAGAAAACACAGTTAGTAAACTTTCAAAACATATAATGGAGAACTGAAATTCAAGTGCTAAATATTTTTAATGGAAGTTTTTTCTATATTTTTTTAAGTATTAGTAATTATTATTTAAATTTAGCGAGATCCTTGCACTTGATGCTTGCTGCAAAGAGATTTAATGCCAGGTTCTAGTTTAGTTAACTTCAGTCTCAAGTCTCTCCATTTTATTATATCCAGCCGGTTTATTTTCTTTCCTTTTTTTTTTCTTTTTTTTTTTTCTTCTTGCATATTTTGTTGCATTCGAATATTTGATTTCAGTTTCCTCACAAAGCCATGTCATCACTCCTTTTATATTAAATAAAGTTTTAACTCGCTCATCATTTTGCATTTCTGCAAGTTTTCCTTGATACTGCATATTTGAAATATCAGCCAAATCCACTAACATTGGCTGCATCATCCAAGTTGGGAAATCAGTTTGTTTCAAATCAGAAAATCTTTCTTTTAAATCAGCTGATAAAATTTTCAGATGATCAACAATAACATGTAAAGTAGTATCAGTAACTTCACATTTTAAAGCCAATGAAACATTTCAAAATTTTTATTATAAATATAGCCTGACATAATTCAGTAAAAATAATGAAACCAAATATCTTAACTTTTGCATAGATAATAGTTTTATTTGCTCCTTGAAGTTGTTTATTTAATATATTTAGTTTTTCAAAGGTATCGGCTAAATAACTGACAAATGCCTTACCCTCAGCCGTTAACAGATTTTTCATTTCAGGTTTGTCGTTTAATAACTAAGAGTATCAAATAGTTCCATAAATCTGTACAAAAAGTTCCCTTTTGACAATCATCTTATTTCAGTGTGAAGTGTAAATCTCATATAGTCTTCATTTTCTTCTTCACAAAATAACTTGAAAAGAAATTCACATTTGGCACTTTAATGGCATTGATACACTTTATAACTGAATTTAGTACGTCATTTAGAACAGGCAAAATTTTTTTAGCTATCAGGGTTTTCCCTATGAATAACACTATGGACAAGAAGCATTTTTGGATTTTCATCTTTCATCAATTTTAAACAACTCTTTTTCTTCCCCATCGTATTAGAATCACCATCAGCAGCACAAGATGTTATAAATTTCATTAGTATATTTTTGACATCTAAGTAATTTTTTATCTTACTATAAAAATCTTTGGAAGTGGTGGTGCTTTTTAATGATTTACAGAACAAATTCAGCAAATTCACCTTTATCAATAAATCTTACGTAATTGATAAGTACAGCCTCACTGTCTCTCAAACTTGATTTGCACCGAAAAGTTTCTTGTTTTCAGCTTTTCAACAAGTTGTATTTCAATATCCTCACTCATTTCATCTATTCTTCTGCTAACAATATTGTTACTTAATGGCATAGTTTTAACATCTTTCATCTTTTTAAAGAACAGAAGTTTTAAGAAATGCTGATATTGATGGTTTAATTAAATTCTCCCCTACAGTATGACTTTTCTCAGATTTAACGATGAGTTATGAAATTTAATAACTAGCCTCAAGAGTACGATTAACAATTGCATTATGAGCAGTAAATAAAGACTTAAATGTTACTTTTTTTAAAAAATTTTTCATTAAAGTTTGAAAATAATTCAAATCTGAATTAATATTAGTATTATTATGTTTCGCCTTCAAATGTGCCCCAAAACAACTTTGTTTCACTGATTTGTTGGTCAGGCATTGTTGGCATAAAAGACAAAAAGGTGACATTCATTGTGTACAGGGGTATGAAACCAAATTTTTAAATATTCCTCCAAATACTGACAAACTTTTTTTTCACCACTCATTTCACTAAGGCTGAAAGAAATAAATATAAGGTCAATTGAAAACTTCATCACACCACTAAATATAAACAAAAACTGAAGCAGCTGCTGTGTCCCTACAGCAAAATATCTTTATAAAATATTTAAAATGGACTGCAATTTAAAAGCACTTTTATGTATACACCACTTACATTATTCTTTATTTTTGGAAATAAAAAATGAAATTTCAACTTCTTGAAGAAAATTTGGAAATTTGAATGTGACTCTGGACAAGTCCATTTTCAAATTGACCCCCTTAACAATCGAATTGCCTTCCTGTGGAGCGTGGGCCTCACTTTGGGAAACATTGATATAGATAGTTATAATAAAACCTTTGCTTCTTAAATTATTATACTAAATAAATAATGATATGCAATGTTTTCATTTGAAATATTTTAAAATTAAGATGTTAGAAAGTATAAGAGTAAATCTATATAATTTTTAGTATATTAAAGGGCAAAAAGTTTACTACTGATTTGACAAGTAATGTAATAGGTAAAAGTAAAATTTGATGAAAGTACGAAATAGCTATTATTATATTCATATTCATAAATTTTGATCTCCCTCATGCATGCTTAGTCGGAATTTTTATAACTCATAAAATTTGTTTTCTAATTTCTTTGTGTGCATTTCCATTGAGTATAATGGATTTAATAATATTCTTTATAAGAACTGTTTTAAGATCTGTATCCATTTGAAATATATTCTTTATAAGAACTGTACCCATTTGAAGGAATATTCAAAATCATGCTAATTTTCAGCTTAAGCAAAAGCCTTCAAAATAAAAAGTCGCAAGCATTTGTTTAGATATTTCAAATTAAATTATCACTAAATGTTACATATGTATGTAAATGTTACATGTACAGAAATGCATATTTGTTTTGTTTATTTAATTCTATTGTTTCATATAAGTTTTTAAACTTTTTGGCTGACTTTTAATATAAGCCTTTATGTGTTATAACAAGTGCAATATTTCACAGGCATATTGTAAGTGGGGTCAAGTGGTATATGGAAGAACATTTGATCAGCTGGAGCTTACTGAATTAGCTCGTGAGTGGGTCACTTCTCTTCGACCAAGATCCTTCAATCTCTGATGTGAACATTATCTGCCTTTTTTAAATTATTATCACAAATTTTTATGCTTAGATCAAGTCCCTGGTGACATTATAGAAGTGCTTCAATCTTATATGTGAATCAACATGAGGTTGTGGACATTTTGGAATACTGGATAATTTTAAACAGATTATTAATATTCATATATTAGTTTATATGTGTAAGCCACTGAATTTTGGAGATCACATTTAGATGCATTTAATTAACAGCATTTATAAGAGTTCATACACTAAATTTTTTTAATGTATTGGAATGAATTTAATTTCCTAAAATTCACAATTTTATTTATTTTATTTTTTAAATATTTTTGCATTGTACTGCTCTTTGCCAACTCACAGCAAAAAAATTAACTATTTCTAATGGCATTTAATTGAAGGAAGCAGTATAACATTCCTCTCCCTTTATTTGCAAATCTGCAATAAAAGATATTTAACAATTAATTTTTTTTTTTTTTTTTTTTTTTTTTTTTACTGAAATAAATAGGACTAGAGTCCATCACAAGTTAGAAACATGTCTGAGTAAAAAATTTTTTCAATATATAATCTTCAAGCTTTAGCTAGAAAACCTATGATAAACAGATGCAGAAAATGCATTTTTCAATACTTTAGAAGAGCTCGTCTGTAAATTGAATAAATCTTGGTTTTTGAAGATCTATTCCCAAGTTTGTTTTTCATTTGATAATGTGTATGAATTCAGTTTATGCTTTATTTAGTCATTCTTATCGCTTATTTTTGCATGGTACGTATTATGGTTACTTTTATTCCGGTGTATTTAGTGTTAAGGCATTTAATGGTACGAATTTGTTACTGTTTGTTTACATATTTGAGTTTTATTTTTAGGAATTTAAATTTAGTTCATAAGTTTAAAGAAAGCTATATATTCTTTCTCTGAAGTAATGTTAAAGTGGTTTTGGCTGACTTTTCTAAACTGTATGTGACCCTGTTTTATTAGTTTGTAATACCCGTTTCATACATTTTAAAATTATTGACAGTTTAATTGTTGCTATTCATGCAGATGGTAAATGTTTAAAGAATGCTAGCATTTTGATTTTGATAAAATATGTTGTATATTATTTATAAGTTTTAAGAATAAACATTAATTTATTTCCTAACTTTTAATAACACATGATAAATATTTGTAATTGTTTCACTCTGGCAAACTTCATGCCCTGTTCTTGAGAAAAAATTTCATATTACCAATATAAAAAGTTGTTTTTCATTCAGTTGCATAAATTTTGAATTAGCCATTGTTAATTCATAAAGTGCAAAATCTATGCAGAGTAATTTAAGAAGAGCATTCACTTCTTAATAATAACATATATTTTAGTAGCAACAACTTTTTATTTTGGTCTTCACCTATGTGTTTTCTTTTTTAAATATTCTTACTGAGTAGTTTTGAATTCTATTACATAGTATTTTATTACTAATCTTTGGGAAAGTAAGTAATTAAGAAGATAATTGTAATATTTGAATTATAATCCTTTTTGGGAGATAAAAATTTATTTTGGTCATCGAATTGGGATCAATACAAATGTCAAACTGCAAGTCCTCCTCTTTTTTCCTTTGAAAATTTTCATTATGTAGTGAATTTAAATTCCCTGAAAAGAGATGTGTTGAGCCTTTTTTTATATTTATGTAACATAAGACAATATCCCTCTCTTCCCAAAAAAAGGAAAGAAAAAAGGTGTTTACTGAGTTTTAATGTTCAGTTTTTATACTGTATTGTATTATTATGTTATGTCTGTTTTAGTTAAATATTTCAATATGTATAAAACTTTGTTTTCACATATATATATATATTCAATATCTTTACCTTTTTCATTTAAACTCCCTGGAAACAGATATGGAGAACCTTATATATATATTTCTGTTGAAGTAGGGTAGCAGAAGCAACAAAAAACATTAATTGTGCTATTTTAAAAAAACTAATGACTATTTAATTTTTATGTTGTTATATTTGTTCTACTTAGTTAATTCATTGTGCATCAAATTGAATTCTTATATCTCTATTTTTAAAATAATTTATTTACTAGAAATGAGAAATTTTTATTATTATTTCTACTTTCATATATTACAAGAATATGTAATCATATACGAGTACAAATAATTAAATTATGAAATTATAGTTCTTTCTTTAGAATAATTAACTGCCTCCAGTAACTTTTAACACCAATTTTTTAATATCAGATAAAAATTAATATTTTTATTAAATTATTTTCATGTGCATGTATTTTACATAATATTGTAATTTGTATACTTACTAATGCATGTTTTAAAAAAAATATTTTTTTACATTGATATTCAGCTGATCATTGAAGTTTTTAAAACTTAAAGTCAAATTTTTTTAGTACCTTGTATATAGAGTTACTGATTTTATACATAGAATTCTGAAAAACAGTTTACATCCTTGAAATTTTTTCTGTAATGTATGTATATTTTTCTATATAATCATATGTGAATATTCTTAAAAATTATACTACTTCGTGTTCAAAGGAATGACCAATTTATAATCAACTCCTTAGTTTTGAAGAAATATAAATTTTCAGTGGAAAAAGACTATGTTTTTAATTAGTATAGGATGAGTTCCTGATTATTATTGAATTTTTATTATTAATATATTGTAAAAACTTTTCTGTGTTTAATGTAGCAATCACAAAACATTATATTAATTATGTAAATACAATTTTTGGACTTGTATGAAAATTATATATGTATGTATTTTTTTTAATTTATTTTTTTAAAAATTTGTTTGTAGCAAAATGTTACAGATTAAAAAAAAATGCTTCAAGCCTTTCAAACCATTTTATAAATGCTTAATAATTGTCAAGAAAAAACTAGTCTATGCCTCGTGATCTGGAACAATCAACAGAGTTAGTATACATCCTTCATTACCTGCATACAAGGAAATGAATTACAAGCGAACAGTTAATTTGAAAAAAGTTGCATTAAACTACTATGATAAAAAAAAAATTAATTACATTTTGAGATTATTTTCCTTATTTTCATGAGGAATAGTACTCTTTCTGTAAATATCAGTTCTAAAATGCCTTCATGAGATTTTTTAGTATTATTTTAGATACCTCAAAGGGAAAAAATGTCTAATGTTGCAATGGCAATGAGTATTTAAAGAATGTTTTTTCCCAAATGAAAAAAGCTTTTAAATCCAGAGAAATAGCTCTATATTTATATAATGGATGTTGTGAAATGATTAATAGCAAGAAATTATGATTATATTTTCACTTTAGGGAAAATAAATAGAAACGCACTTTCGCACAAATTGATATAGATTTTGTGAGTACCAAAGGCACCTGTGTTTCTGCCTTATCCACCTCCTATCAGCTGGATCTTACTGAGTTTGTTTACATGGAAGCCAACGAAATTTATTCTGCTATCATTACACCATTGTCAGCGGTTAAGCTTTCTGAGAATCCTGGAAAGTTAAACTCCAATGTGCTTAAATTAAACTAGTCTTTTAAGCCTGCAAGATAAATATGGCTTCTACTATAAACTAAACATATCAGAAACCAGAAAACCAAACAACTAAAATTTTTTGTAATCTTCTACAAAAATAAAGCAAACTGAACATAAATTGACTTCCATTGCTTGTGCAATAACAGACAACACATAAAAATGAATTATCCATAATCACAAGTTAAGTTTTATCCCAGCATCAATCTCATTAAATATTACTTGGCAGCCAAATGGAGAATCAGATCAGAGGTTTTCTGCTTGTGTCAACTACACATGGAGGAGTTTGCTTTAAAGTGAAAGCCGATGCCAATCCTTTCTTAAGATTCTTACTGTACATAATAATCTTGTCATTAACATACTCTGGTAGAAGCAGGTGAAGCCAGGAGTGTAGAATGTATTTTAATGTAAACAAAAGTATGTTTATTAAAATAAATCCTATTATTGTTAAGAGTGATTTTACACATCATATGATTTGGCAAGAATCTAAAATGTTACTTCAATGATATATCTGAAAGTTGATTTTTATGATCAGAGTGCATATATTGTTTGTTTAATAGAGGTAAAGCATGAAGTCTGAACAATGTTGCATATTTTTTCCCATTAGTATCTACTATGGCAGAAAGGTATTTATTATACAGAAACGCTTTTGGATAATTATCTTTTGCGTGGAGTAGTAGATCAGAATCTTATGTACAAGTGTGAAGAACTTGCTTTGTAATACAGATGGTGTAGCCGGAATTAGAAATTGCAAATATCATCTGCATGACATGGCTTGCATATTTTCTGGTTCTCAGTCCCATCAAACATATCTAGAATGTTTTCAGTAATTATTAGGTGAAAATAATCAGAAACTTCAAATTCCCATAAAAGTGAAAAAATATCTCATTAACATTTCTGAATAATCTGAAAAGCATACCATATTAGTACAGAGCATGCTTGAGGAATCCAAACTGCCTACTAATATTATGAGATTTGCAGCTATTCGTGTGAGTCCCTGCATTTTCAGTCACTCCAAGATACTGTATGGAACGCCTTTTTTGTTTTTTTCTCATTATCTGCAAAAGGTTTCCACCATTACAGATTAATAAAGGTATCATAGTTCCCTTACTCTACATTTGATATTCACTTCCTGGAATAAGATCCATCATTAGTAAAACATAAAAATCTCATTATTGCTAAACAGTTGTTAAATAGTGTAATTTGCTTTTACATGACTTTTATTGTATGTTGTTGGCAGATGCTGGAATTTATTGAAATAGCCTAAAATGAAAGAGTTTACACGCATTTTTCGGACTCTGACCATTTCACTATGGCATAAATGCAAACTCTTCCCTGTTTTTCATCCCACCTCCCAGTCTTATGGTTTTTGATTTTTAGCATTTACTTAGGGAAGCATTTATCAGCAGTAAATGAAATGTTTTGAATCAATGAAACTTAAATTGTGCAAATTTCATTCCTCCATCTTTAGTAATTTTCATTTCCCCACATTTAGTAAATAATTTTTTTTTAATTTTTATCTTTTAAATGTTTTAATTTTTCTACACATTTATGGAACTTTGCATGAAGGTTCAAACCAGGTTTTGTCAGTTAATATTTGTATTTAATTTTGTTTTACTTCAGTATATGGTACATTACTAAGTTTATATTCATACTATAGTAATAGATGTGGTAAAAATAACATTAAAGAAATTTAGTGGGGTCTAAAGGTGATAAATGGTATAAGTAGGAAAACATTTGTTCTGAGGAAGACAGATATTCTGTAATATTCTAATTACTGTATAATGGGACTGATCAACTAAATTAGAAATACAAATAATTTTTAATAAAGATTATGAGATAAATTTTAAATGTAAATACCAAATTGATTGTTATTTAATCATGTTTCAAAAATTTTTTTATTAGCTCACATAGATCTCTGGAATGTGGTATTAAATTGGATTATTTAATTAAGGCAAAGCATTTGAGAGCACTATTTACAAGACTTTCGTAGTTCACGGATATTGCACTACTGAATTTGTACATTAGATTTCATTTATGTTTTACATTTAAAATGGTCATTATTATTAATGAATTAGCTATTATTATTATTATTATATATATAAAGGTAACATAAGTGGTGTTTTTAATTCTGTAAATTTTCACAATTATATAATTTTATAAATGTACTTTAAAATTATTTTGTAATTTGTAATTGAATGTAATTTCTTGTATTTTTGCTACTGTTGTTAATAAAGTAGTTTAAAAAGAAGTTTGGTTTTAGTTAGTTTACATGTATAATCACTGTATTTAGAAAGTGCTTTTTCTATTTTATAGAACTAATAGAATAGTTTAAAAATGTAATATTGCTTATAAAACATTTTTTTTCGACGTGCATGTGTTATCCCTTTAATTCTTATTCTTTCTACATCAAAGCACTGAGTGAACAAAGATCTTGATTTTCCAAGACAGGTTATCATAATTCTGGTTTTATTTTTATTTACTTTATACAGTGGGTTTTGAGAAATATAAATAACTGTTTTTCAATAATGAACAACTTTCTTGCCACTAAGAAGAATTAAACTGTTTTTGTTGTACTGGTATATAACATGAATACAATTAATAAGGTGTATTACGTCCCACCAGCGGCCGAGCGGTAAAGTCGCTGAACACTGGTAGTTCGGTCCAAGGTTCGAATCCCATGAACGGACTGGTTGCATGGGCGTTTTCGTGGTTTTCCCCATGTGTAACGTGTATACGAGCCAGTTTCCCTTAGAAAGTCCTCCAGGAAGGCATCCCTCCCCTTAGGCAGATAGCCCTTGAGGCTTTGCCATAATCACACACACACTAATAAGGTGTATTACAGATGCTAAGTGTTTAGTCTTAATTCATCAATTTCCAGGGCACATTTTATTATTTTCTTTTTCCACTGTGGAAAAATGTGTCGCAGTGATTTTAATCTTGTGTATGTGTGCATATTACACACATACATAAGATTAAATTTCAGTCCAATTATATATATATATATATCTGAAGTGGAAAATTTTCTGATTTGCTTATTACTGATGTTGTTACAGGTCTGAATTACAATAAAAAACATTGCTTGAATTTGTGCAAGAACAGGGTATGTCACTTCTAAAAGGGGGTTATACTTTTCTTGGACAATTTGCAGTAAATTATTACCCTTTTCTTATTGATTGGAGAGAGCTGAAGAAAAATATTTGAATGGGTAGATATTAATTTATACTAATTCGAACTGATAGTAAATTTAAAGGTGGCCTTAATTTTCAGAAGACAAGAATTTAAAAGTTGTTGCATGAGAAGCAGGCACAATTTTTTTCACCTTCTTCAAATCATTTGAAAAAAAAAAGGGGGGGGGAAGAGAGGCAATCTCTCCTTTTTCAGGCATAAGCAGGTTTTGGACCATTTTCGTTTCCCAGTTAAAAGTCAAGCCAGGCATGAAGATATGTTGCTAGGAATTAAAGATTTTTCTTGGCTATGAGACATATTTTTGAAGCAAGATTCAGAGCAACTGCCATGACTCTCACTAGCTATGTAGATATTGATGTATTCATCTCCACACTTTATTCTCAGAATTTTTACAGAGGAGCTGCCATGCTGGATTAGCTGGGTGGTTACTTCTTTCAAGTGGTATTGATTGTAAATTCATCAAAATGGTGGTAAATTCAATAGAAAGTCTTCCAGAACGACTGCAGTGCAAGTAAGTTGGAATATCATGACAGCGGAGATAGCTGTGAGTACTTTAAGACTTTTGCTGTGCCATGATCTTTTAAGACAAGAACTTGAATGGTGTTTACTTATGCTTCAGCTCTTGACAGCCGTGGGGGAGGGGAGAGTGTTCTGGTATTCTCCCCATCCAAAGTGTTCTAGTTGTTTTTCATTTAAGGAATTCAAAGTTTCTTCATTTAATGCTAAAATGAGAGTGCTTAAATAGTTTTAAATATTAATGACAGGATAAGACATTTGTATGTTTAAATTGCCTAAAATTTTAAAGATTGGAATGTTCTGAAATGAGGAATGTTAGTAACATAGTGAGTTAAATATGTCTGTTGTAATGATTAATAAACAAATAGTTGAAAGTACAAAATGTTTAGAAGAAAAAGGTCTTTAATGTGATTAAATTTTGAAATCTGCTTCTTGTAACTGAATAAAAATCAGGAAATTTCCAACAATTTTATAATTTTTTGTTAATTTTATTATTTTTGTATCAATTTGTGGTATGTATTTCCTGTTGGATGCTTAACGCCTTTCTTGATTTAATTATCATCTCTTGAAATATATATATATATACATACATACAGGGTGAGCCAAAAGTTCATTAAAACTTTAAAAATTCATAAAAAAGGAAGAAATTCTGATAAGGAAGTCAGTTTTTTTAGCAGCAAAAAAGTTTTTGTTAAAAATGTCACCAGTAGAGCGAGCTGGAAATCCAAAGCATAAAGAACATGGACAATAGTATGCTCCATTCATTTATTCTTGCAATAACAAGTGTTCAACATTACTTCCAGAATACTGTACGACACAACGAAGGTGACTCGCAACACCCATTGCAGCTGAATGCAGTATGTCGAAATGAATTGCAGAAACTTCACTATAGACAGAATCTTTGAGTTCGGCCAGTACTGAAGGGGATGAGTGATTTCAAAATAGCCTCACAACCAGAAATCAACCAGAGTGAGATCAGGTGATCGTGGAGACCATGTGATCTTGCAACCTCAACTGATCACTTTGTCTTCACAAAATGTACTCAGTAGGAATCATTTTACTGGATTGGCATAGTGGGACAATGCACCATCCTGCATAAATCTTATTACAGATGATACATCTCTTTGATTTAATGCGGTCAAGACTGTCACAATGAGGTAACACTGAGCAGTTATGGTGCACATTTTTAGCCAGATATGTGGCATGGTTCTTCAAAGAAGAATGGTCTGACAATGAAAGATGAGGTGAAGCCTCTGTCAACTTGGCTGGATGCAGTGATTTCGTTGCGTATTCCCAAGGATTCATATGAGTGTTCTGGTTTTTAACTTTCCCATGCAGTGTCAAGTGCCCCTCATCTGTTCAGAAAACGTTGAACCATTACTTAGGGTTGCTTTTAATTCTTGCCGTAGCCCACTCAGCAAATGATTCCCTTATAGTTGGGTCTCCCGGCTGTAACTCATGCAATGACTGCAATTTGTAAGGATAAAGATGACACATCCAATATCCTTCCAGCTTAATGAGTACTGCTACTCCCCGTGGACGAGTCAACCACTATATCATTCATGGTGTTTTTCACTGCAATAATTTGGCTCTTCTCCAATGAGGGTCTTCCACTTCATGGCCGATCTTCCAAAGGGCTACTTTCTTCAAATTGTAACAGTTGCTGACTTTCCGTTCAAATAGAACAACTTCACCAACAATGCTCGCTTGGGTAATAACATTCTGAAAGATAATGGGAAATCCTCATGTATCACAGTCTGTTATTGCATGATTAATTTGCATAACTCTGCTTAACTTCTTGCATGTCAGCACCCTCTACTGGTAATATTTTTAACTAAAAATTTTTTTGTTGTTAAAAAAAATCTGATTTTCTTATGAGCACTTTCTTGCAAACCAAACTTCTTTATCATAATTTCTTCCTTTTTTATGAATTTTTTTAAAAAGTTTTAATGAACTTTTGGCTCACCCTGTATATCAAGAGTGTGCATGCAAGATAAAGAATATGTAAAATAAAATCCTATCTTTAATTTGACCCCTTTATGTCCTCTACTTAATTTTTTCTCCTAAAATTAATAATAAAATCCTTATAATAAATCCCTCAACAGCATCATTTTAAAATTAATTCTTGTTATATGATTCTGATGTAAAGCTCATTATTTTACATTCAATTTTTTGTTTGTTCATTTGTTTGCTCACTTTCGTTGTTAATAGCTGATTCAAATGTAGCAATTTCCGTACTATTTAAAAAGAAAAATTGGAACATTTTTCAATTATTTTCTTTTTATTACAGGAGTAATAATATCAACAACAGACCTCAGTTATATAATATTTAGTTTTAAATAATCATTGTCTGCATTTAATCATTTATCATTCATTCATAAAGTAGTAAACTCAGGATTTATAACACAAATAGTAAATATCATATCTATTAAACGCGATTCATAAGCAGTGGTTTATCAGATATAGAATAAACTGATGTGATTATCTAAATATAATAAAGACATTACTAACTATAACAGAAAAGATTTTAATATGAAATTTCAAACAGACAAATTCTAACAAGTGTATAAAAATAGGCTATTATGAAAATTATTATTTCTTTACAGTAGCAGAGTTTGAATTGTGTATTTCTGGCTCATAAGTGAGCAGGACAATCATCACCCATAAATGCAAAAGGAGCTGAAAAATAAAATAAAATCTTTGAAATAACCTTTCAAGAACTTTATTATATAATGTATTAATAAGAATATTATACAGTATGTATTATTTATTATGTATTTATAAGAAGTGGTGTAATCACATTGGCATTCTAAGTACAGAACTGTAGCATCACAATACATTAAAGAGAATGCATTAGACAAAATGAAAATAACAAATAAAACATCAGTTCAGAAATCTGTTCAGAAACACAGTACAAAGTCCGAGATCTGGAACTGTCACACTTCACTGATTTCAGATTGTATCATCAGTTTAAATCTAGTAAGATGACATGACACTGGGGCTTTGGTTATTTTTTAGGTCGGGTTGAAGCATGCTAACCCCCCAAACAGGGCCGGCTGTCCCCGCATCATTGCAGCAGAATTTACAGAAGTTTTAAAACTTTAGGAGAAGCACTGGGCAACAGGATTTAAGAGCAGTAAAATTTTTAGAATTTAGAGAATACTAAACGGCAGAATTTAGGACCTGAAGAGATTATACCAGGCAGCAAAATGTGTGGCATTGGTCCTCCCCAGGGCTGTGGAGTCGGTAGGGAAAATTACCTACTCCGACGTATCATTCATCATGTCAACATATACACATGGGTTACAGCTTATTTTTTTAATATAAAAGAAGTAATAGATGCTACAAAAAATTATGGCATAGCAAATTATTTATATTAATTAGCATTTATTATGAAATGGAAAAAACTGGCATTAGTAATTTCTAAGAAACAGTAACCGCTTCGGCAAGATCTTCTTTGTTAGAGGACCATACATCCTGATTTGATAAACTTCCAGAAGTTGAGAAGAGTCTTTCCACACTGACTTGATTAGGAAGGAAGAGCTGTTACTGTCTTAGGGCTATTTCCTTTAACTTTTCAGGATAAATTTTTATAAAGTTTTAAAAGAAAGAGGTTGTCTTGGCAAAAGCAATCATATTTATCTATTTCTTCACATTCCGTGTATAGATCTTGTTCTGTATTTTTTCATTTTTATATCTAAAGGCGCTTGGTTCTTTATTTTCATTCGCTTTCCCTTAGCCTTTTCAATATTATCCAAATATTTCTCAAAATTTAATTCATTACTGGAAGAGGACGATAGACAGTCTGCAGTTTGACTGTCCTGATTCGAATTCTCCAATTGTTCTGAGAATAATTTCATTCTTAATGAAAGTTCAAAGATGGCTTTCTAACAATCTCTATATCTTCAAATACATACTTCTCCATCGCACTGCTTGATCGATAATTGCTCCTCTTCCTGATCGCTTCCTAAGAATGGCATCAATTTTGACAGTTCTTGCTGCTATTGCTGCTTATGTAAATTTACCAGTGAGATTTGCAACTAAATGAATCAGTTTAATCAAGAATGGAAAATATCACATCCATCCTCCTTGCCTTATATTTATAAATATGTCAATAAAATAGAAAATAACTTTTTATTAATGTATATAGTCCATAAATAAAAATAATAACTCAATTTGTCATTAAATTTTTTTCAATTCACTTTAATTTCATTTCAAATTCAAACTGTCCAACAAAAACACGAGTTGAGTCGGAGTCGACCTGTTTTTAGCGACTCCAGCTCAGACTCCTTTTAACCCAAAATCTGCCTAACTCCGACTCCATAGCCCTGGTCCTCCCTCCCCACACAATCACTAGACCCTCAAAAGTGTAATCCTGGCCAACATCACTATCATGCCCATTCATATACTGCTACTGGCTAAGGTCCAACTTCCACACAAGCAGGTGTTTGAAAGTGACAGGCAGGAATCTCAGTTAGTCAAGAGGAAAATCATATTTACAGCACATCTGCTTCCTTTGTTGAACATTATATTCTTCATTTCTAGTTTTTTTTAAAGAGGGCGGGGCATATTTATTTATTTTTTTGGTCATGGTCTGGAAGTCCAGTTATTAGATCATTCCAGGTATTTAATGTTCGGATTTCGAATTTTTCACTGTAATACTTAAGTTTCTCAGATTGATATAAAATAACAAATGAATATGTTTCTAACAAACAGAGTAATTACTATTAAGAGTATTTTAAATAGTACACATAATGTACTCTAACTTTTGAATACTAATTTTTAATAATTCAAAAATTAAAATTAAGCTAAATAAATATTCAGAATAAAAAAATGATTAATATATTACTGACATAAAATATCTCAAACAATCAATCACACAGAATTAAATAAGACAATCTGGGGGGGATCATTAAGTTATTGAGTTGCAGCCAATTTTTAAGTTATGTAGAAAAATAACAAAATTTAAAGACAAGAAGAAAGCAACGCAATAATACATGATGCAATGATATACAAAGAAAAAGCAAATAGACTCACTACTTTTAACTGGAAGGAAAGCAAGCTAATGTTAAAACGTAAAAATTTGGCAAAAACGGAATCTTAGATTGGCACAGATTTCAAATAAAATAACCCCTCAAAATTTTTTATCCCTGAAAATGAAGAATCTATGTAAGCTGCTTTCAAACAAATAGTTTTACTTAAAATCTATATTAATCTGTTATTCTTTATTGCCTAATTTTACATATTCTCTCTCTTTTTTTGAAATTCATATTGATTTTAAGCATGCTCCAAAAATTGTAACACAGAGAATTTTACCTTATTCGCTAAATGATCCCCTCCCCCCCAAAAAAACTTAAAAAAGAACAGTTTTGTAAACCAGAATAACGATTTTGGTACAGTGAAGAGTATTTTCATGCTCATACAAAATTTAATAACATATATTTTATTGCCTTAAGAAAAGGCTGTATTAAAATTTGTTTCTGAAATTTAAAAAAATTTGAGCTACAAAATACAGATGGTTGCAATGCTGCCTGACATTATTCTGAGTTTTTATTGCTGAACTGATATAATCTTCCTTTAATTGAAATGAAAGTAGACCATTTAAAAATAGATTATTATCATTCTGTTGGAGCTATTTGTGTATCTATATTCCTTTTCAGTTTTGACTACTGAATTTGGAATTTAGATTAGATTAAGTATTGTGCTTTGAGCTACTGTATGCTAAATAACTTTTTCCCCTAATACATTGGGGAAATTTTTGGTGAAAAGCCGAAAAATTTCATTGAAATTTGATATATAAAAATAGAAGATATCTTGGTTGCACAAAAGTTAAATGATTGTGATCGAAATGACATGCCATATTTTTAATCCTTTCTGCCAAAATCATATTGAATTTCAGATCAATTTATTCAATGAGAGACAGAAAAGTGAAATTTATTAGTTATGAAATTTATTAGTGCATTACAGAGCAGCCTTGGACAGAAATTGAACTTAATATTTTACTGTGGAATTTATGAAACTGACGCAAGTCATTTATAAATAAATAACTTGAAATCAAAAGCTATCATTTTACAGTATTTATTTAGGCTGTATTAGGTGTCAGAGAAGGATAGCAAGAAATTTAAAGTATTTTGCTGTTCACTTTATTTCATTTCATTTAATTATTTTTAAAATATGCTTGAAATGCCTATGATCTCACAATACAATGTGCCCACTGACAGCCAAGCAGATAATATGGTTGAACAGTAGTAATTGATCCAGATTTAATCTGCATGAATGTACTGGCCCAAAATACAGCATGCATGATTTTTTAAGTGAACAATTATCTGCTTCATCATCATTTTTCTAGTAAAGAAATGTGCCATCTGCTTCATAGACTGTTATTTGGATTAATGGGTTATATGGAACAACTAATTTATGTTCTGGCACCAATAGTGTTCAGAAGATTACTATTTTTCATGGTAACATGTCAAGAATTCCATTGCATTAACAAGCAATTTCAATTCATGCTGTTTTATAAACAACTTTGACATCCAGCATGCACACAATTTCTGCAATACAATTTTGAAAAAAAAAAAAAAAAAAAAAAAAAAAAGGATGGAAAACTTTTTTAAAAGGCAAATACAGAGCACATCACATAAAATGATCTCTTCTGCTACAAATACATATGAACTTCAATAAGTTGCCGACGATTTCCAACTGGTTTTATGTTCTTGCAGGCAAGAAACAATAAGATAGAATATAAAATACAGAATTGAATAGTATTTTTTACACATAATAAATATAAACAAAAAGCATGTACTTTAGAGTAATATCTGAAAATGGTATAAACACCTTGCCAATGAAACAATACATTTAGCAGACGTGCACATCAATAAACAGTGATAGAGCAACAATGTTTAAAACTATAATTTACTTTCATTAACTGTGAGAGGGAAAAATATAAAGATCATATTCAAAAGAGAATGGATACTCAGGCTTGATACATGAAAAAGCCTGAGACACAGAAAAAAATAATAATAATAATAAGAAGAAACAATAAATGAGTAAATGATGTATTAAAAAATTATCGCTGTATTACAGTTTAGTCATTAAAAGGCAAATGGACTCTGCAGAAGAAATGGAAAATGCTACTTGAATTATTAGCTTAAGAAGTAAGTGTACAAACACAAACATAATTTTTACAAGTAGCATTTTGTAAAAGCAGATAATGAATTCATAAAAGATTATTTTGTAAACTACTACATTTAAAAGCAATTAAATATATATACAATGATTTACAATTGAAAAATTTGATGTGAAGAGCATGGATAATTGAATTAACTAATTTAAATACAAATGCATAAAATAATATTCAAAATTACAATTGTTATTTTTAATGACTGCATTTTACCTTTGACTTTGAAGTAATCATAGTAGAGTAAATGTGGAAATCACCAATATTTGGAAGTTTACAAGTTTCAAGAAGCATACATTTACTATAATAATCAATCCATAAATGAAAACATTACCTGAAAAAAAGGACTAATAACAGTTCTTACATATTTTGTTGTCCACTGTTTTAAACAAAATTGCTAGTTCAATTTATCACAAATAATGGATAACTGTAGTGTTACAATACACTCATAACAACTTTGCCTTGGTTTTGTGTAATCCTGATCTTCAATAAGCCAAATTAGCTTTTATTAAGAAGTTATCAGTCAATTGCTCTTTCTCTGTTTTTCTCTTGCATTTTGAAAAAAAAAAAAAAAAAAAAAAAAAAAAAAAAAAAAGATTTAAATTTGGCACCAACTTTATACAGAATAGCAGTTAGCGGATTATTTTTAAAACAACAAGACTGGTTATACTGATATGCATACTTATAACTTTAAAAGACTGTGTAGTATATGATATGCATACTTAAAACTTTAAAAGACTATTTGTCATAATGGCACAATAAAGACATTGTGGAAAAGCACAGCACCATTTAAATTCATATTTTTGTGAATTTATGACGTTTTAAGTTTATAAAAAAATGACAATTTTGTTGTTATTTTATGTTCTGTTAGGTATTTGACCACTAGAATGACTGGAGCTAAGTTTAATGAATTTCTTTATCAGAAGATCTCAAAGTGTGAGCACACAGGTATATAAGATTTTATATAACATATTCATAACTTGTATCTATTGATCATTTAATTAAATAATGATCTGTTATTTTTCTGACTAAATAAAGAGCAATCTGTTCTTTCGAACTTCCACTTGAATCATTGGTGCAGTTTTAGTAAAAACTCCAATAACTTTCACAGTTGATGGGAAAATAAATAAGTACTCTAACATCATATTGCCATCCATATTAGAAATATCTGCATCAGATCAATTTGCTCTTAAAAAGGGCAATTTTGTTTGGGAGGTGAAAGCCTACTATGTAGTCTTTGGAGGGTAAATAAGAATTCAAAGAGTTTGACTAAAATTACTTTTGTATTCTAGTTATCATTGCTCAACAATGAAATTGTCACATCAAGAAGGAAAGGTCACATAAATTAGAAATTCACAGAATCTATAAGATATGTTAATCATATGCAAATGATTAAAAATTGCCAAAACTTGTGTATGCAGTCCTTCCCATGCACATACACAATTTCAAATAGTATTTACAAACAGACCTTACTTAAAAAATAGCATTCATACACCTTTTTATCATATGTTATATCATATATTATAAGGATTATGTTATATCATACATTAGATTTATTTATAGAGTACTACCTGCTTTGTAATTTTAACATGAATTATTGTTTAGTTATAAAACAAGTAGTGCTACCATAAACATGAAAGGGATGACTTATAGTTAACTGGAAAAAGCAGAAATTAAAATATTAATCGTTTTAAGTAAAATCAACAAATAATGAACATTGTAGTACAACAGGGATGTCAAACTCATACGTACACTTGGGCCAAAGAAACGAGGTTTAACTTTAGGTGGGCCGAAAAAAAAAATCAATATTCATAGAAACGTAGATTTATTTCGAATAATACAATAATAAACATATATATATATTTATATAGAAAAGAACAAGAAAAATTTATGTTTACGTCCTGATACTTAACATCTCTTCTCTGCTATTATCTTTCCTATTTCGGGAGAAATTTTGTTTGCAGTGATAACTTTCAACGCTGACCCAAGGTGAGCATCATTAATACGGTTTCTAATAGGAGACTTATTACCTTTCATGACTGAACATAACTGCTCGCACAAGTGCTACCAAACATGGAAATAATTTCATATGCGAATTTTCGAGTATTTTCAAACCTGGCTGGTAAATATTTGTAAAATTCAGGCATGCCCACTTCAATGAATTTTGCTTTCAAATTTGAGTTGCATTGAATCTCGATCACCTCCATTTGCATATGGCTGGGTACTGAGTCAATACTTATTGAGAAAATCGAACAAAAAAAAAAAAAAAAAAAAAAATTGTCTTCGAGGGAACTAAAATCATTAAACCTCGTATCAAATTCAGTTGTTAAATTTGCAATTTTTTCTGCGTATTTTTGATACGACCAAGTATCATCTAAACTTGATTTGTTTATGCTGCACGTCGGGAAGTGCGTCAAATCTTCATTTTTAAGTTGTTTTTCCCAAAGAACTAGTTGACATTTGAATGCTTTAATTATGTCATGACATTTGAATGCTTTAATTATTTGAATGCTTTAATTAAATATATTATTATAATTTGAATGCTTTAAACATGTTCGTAATGATATGATCTTTTCCTTGTAACTATAAATTTAAATTGGTTAAGTGTTTGGTTATATCAACCAAGAAAGATAAATCTTGTATCCATATTGGATCCTAAAACAAACTACGTCTTGATTTTTCGTTTTTAAAAACTGACATATTTCTTCTTTCAAATCCCAGAATTGTTTGAGAATCTTGGAGCAAGATAACCAACGTACCTCAATATAGTAGGACAAAAACCCGAATATTCACTAACTCGCTTAAGAAGCAGTGAATTGACGCTGGATTTAAACCTCGAGATCTTATAAAATTTATAACTTTTTTTATATATGACAAACATTCTCCATATTTTATTACTTTTGTGCATAGAACTTCTTGATGTTAAATACAATGCATATGATGAATGTTTGAACCGTGAATTTCACTAAGTTTTTTTCTTAGTAATGCTACGAAGCCCTTGTTTTTCCTGGTCATTGATGGAGTGCCATCTGTAGCTACAGAATTTAATTTTGCCAAAGGTAGATTGTATTTCTGCAGAAGTCCAAAAACACAAGTAAATGTATCTTCTCCTGTGGTAGTACCAGGCATCGGTATTAGTTCCAGTAATTCCTCAAAAATGTTAAAATTCTTGTCACAAGAACGAAGAAACACTGCTAATTGAGCTTTGCCACTAATGTCCGTGCTCTCGTCACAGGCAATGGAGAAACTTTCGAAACTAGATGATTTTGCTTTGATCTGATCACTTCAATTCGCGGCTAAATCAGTAACTCTTTCCGCAACTGTATTTCGAGACAATGAAATTGATTGAAAAGCCTTCACATTTCCAGGACAAACAATTTCTCCAGCTTTCATTAGGCATTCCTTGATGAAATCACCATCAGTAAAAGTCTTCGAATGTTTAGCTATCAACTCGGACAAGACGTAGCTTGCATGTACCGCCGCTTCACTTTCTTGCGATACTTTATTAAACATGGACTGTTGCTTTTTCACTCCTAACTTGAGCTCTTTCAACTTTTCTTCTCTCATTAATCCTTCGTAATTGTTATATTTCGATTTGGTTGTTGTAATGACGTTTAAATATATAACTTTGGTACTTAAATAGTATTATTAGTATCAAGCAGATTATTTTATTTTTATTTCATAGCAAAAATATTCTAATTCCCATTTTACTAGGAATATTCTTCTATGTTCGTCAGCGATTTTTCGTTTAATTTTACTACCACTTGGTTTTGATATAGACATACTGAATACAAAGGGCTGGAATAAACACAGTTAACGCTAAAAAGTTAACAGAAATTTATTCTTTCCACAAGAGATAAATCAAAATGCTGAAATATTTCTTCAAAAATATTCTAACAATATCAAAAAAATGTCAAACGTTTAGCAAAAATCAATTCAAAACAGAGAAACTAATTCTATCTCACAGCGAAATCGCTACAAATCAATCACAGCATTAAGTAAACAAACAGTTCGCTAGAACTACAGCTACTGCTGAGATGAGTTGTTTGTTCTTGGCTTTTATAAGCTTTATAATTAATTTCTCGAATATACTAGAAACATCTATAAATATCTGGATTTTTGTGGATGGCAACAGCAATTACGAGATATTTATTTATTAGGTATTAAATGCACGTGCTGTTCTATTTTTAACCTTGCAACGCAGCTGTCTTTTCAAAAATTGTCTGCATTGCTAAGGCAACATGAAGCAAATCTAATTACAATTCTAATTAAAAAAAACTAAATAAATAAATAACTATGAAATCCGTAACAATATGAATTAAGTAATAATTAATATTAAAGCAAAGTGCATGCACCAATATATCGTATAAAACTATGATTGGAAAACTGAGACCATGAGTTCGGCCACATTCGGCTATCGGGGGATGCGTACAAGTTCTGAGTGCACGTGTCCCCCAAAAGCCGAAGGTAGCTGAACGCAAGCTACTCACACGCATTTGTAATTTAAGTAGTGTGTGTGTCAGCTCACTGTGAGTAATCTAACGCTGAATAAATTATCGTTAATTACTTAGCAGTAAACATTTAATTTTTTTCTCCGTCGATATGTTATTTTATTATTATATATTATTATTTGCCGATATATTGGCTGGGCCGCAGAAATATTTCTTGTGGGCCACGAGTTTGACATCCTTGTAGTACAATATTAGATGAAAATATGGCCACAAAGAAAGGTGATAAATCAGATTAGTAATTTACTCACCATATATATTATAATAAAAACTCTGGTCATAGGATACCTCCGAAAGAATACTCCAAGCCGAATACTACAAAGATAAATAAATGTATCAAATGATTAAAAATATGTTATTAGTTACATATATAAAAATTCATTACTGGTTAATATAGTTTCATACATGCTAATAAATATTCAGTAAGGTAAGTCAGACAATATTGTTATTCTGTATCCAATTAAAACTAAAATCTAATCTCCTATTTAAAATGGAAAGTTACTCCTTCCAATGATAACATGATATTCTACAACAATTTTATGAATAAATGAAAGCATAAAAAATAATTCTTCCTAACATCTTCCCTCCCACTTTCTCTGTTATTAGAGAACACACATCACTCATAACATTTTTCAAGTTACAATAATTTAATTTATAACATAGATATATAAATTATTAAATGATTTGCTAAATTTAGCAGAATAATACACTGCTTCTATTTATATAGAAGCAGTGTATTATTCTGCTAAAATTTTCATTAATGACATACATTACTTCTTTTACCATACTATCAAATTATTTGTCTTGTTAGTGCACACTTACTTGTGGCCTAAACTTTTAGACAACATAAATTTTAACTGTAAAGGAAATCTTAAATTTTTCAAAATAATTTTCTTCCTGTTATTAAGCTGCTAAAAAACTATAAACTATTTTTCACTCAGCAATTTCATTCTTGAATACTTGTGTATATGGGATTTTAAATCCGTAGCTTAATATTTTTCCTCGCACGCTGTCTAAATTTTAGCTGTTGACTGCACGAGTGAAATTGATAGAACTCTCACCACTTTGTTTTTTGAGAGGAGATGTAAGATGTTGTTTTATAGATGTAAGATGATATAGATGCTGTATTAATAGATGAACGATCTTATAGATGTATTAATGTTTCATTAAATGTGTTTTGTTTGAATATGAATTGTGATTGCCAAACTTCGGGATCAAATTACAAGCAACAAATAGAGGAATATGAAGCAATGTTGGATGACAGAAGGAATATTTCTGTTAATAGTGAAATCGATGCATCAACTGCTCGAATTTTCAATGACTCTTCTCTTTTGCTGTTTTTGATGAAGATCATGACGTAAAACAAAATATTAGTAAGTCGTCAGTTCAATTTCTGTTTTCACAGTTTTCAAATATGTATATAAATTTTAGTGATATTGAAAGTTTGATTTCTAAATAATTTGATGGTAATCCGTATAATTCGATTGACAAATTCATTGAAAACTTTGAAGATGTATCTAATTTGTTAAAACTAAATGAATTACAGAAACTGATATTCGCCAAAAGATCTTTAACTGGTAAAGCAAAATTATTTATTGAAAGTGAAATGAACATTAATTTGTGGAATGCAGTTAAGGCTTTATTAGTAAATGAATATGGTGTTCAGTATAACTCTGCTCAATTGCACGAATTATTATCAAAACGTAAAATGCAGGAAAAAAAAGAATCTCTATATGAATATTTTTTGGTAATTAAAAATCTATCTTCTAAAGGTAATATTGAAAACGCCGCTTTATTTGAATATGTTATTAAAGGTATAAACGATTCTGCATTTAATAAAGCTATTCTTTGTGGTTGTAAAACTTTGGCAGAATTTCAAGAAAAACTTAAGATATATGAAAAAATTAAATTAGATAATGATAAAAATAAATCCGTTAAGCCTAATTCTAAAACCAGACGCGACCATTTTGAAACTAAAATAAAAACAAATATTCATTGCTATAACTGCAGAAATCTTCGTCACGGAGAATTTTTGCAAAAATAAGAGCAAGGGAAAAAAATGCTTTCGTTGTAATTTATTTGGTCACGTAGCCGCAGAATGTATAAAAAATAAGACAAATATAAAAGACCTTTCCAGAGTGAATCACATATTTGTAAAGAAGCAGTTAAATGATATGCATAAAACTGTATCAATAGATAATGTAGAAATAAAAAGCTCTGATTGATACAGGAAGTGATATAAATATAGTATCGGAAAAATATTTATAAAGTAATTGGTTCACCTAGTATTAATTCTTCCGACTTGATTCTCGTAGGCTTTGGTAAAGTAAAACCTATTGGTTATTTTAAAGGTTCCATAGAAATTGATGATTGTGAAATTAAATCAAATATTTATGTTGTACCTTAAGGAACAATGAAAGAAAATGCTGTTATTGGAAATGAATTGCTTTCGCAAATGGAAATTATTATAAACGAGAACGGCATATCTATGAAAGTAGCAGAAGATGAAAATGAATCGAATTTAATGTATATAACTGTTGGTCAAGAAAATGGATTATATAATTGTTCAGATATTACTAAAGAATATTCCAAAGTAAAATACTTAAATGAAAGTTATATTCCCAGTAAAACTGAAAACCCTATAGAAGAAACAGATGTAGTTGAAGATGAATTAAAGGAAGATGTGTCTCAGGAAGAGAAAAGTGATGTTAAACATGGACAAGGAAAATTGCAAAATGTAAAGAAAGGGAAGAATTTCATTCATAAAGGAAAAAGAAAAAACCCACCTAAGAATGTTCAGCAAGTCAAAAAGAGTAATGAAAGAATTAACGAATCCAAAAAAACCCACTTCAGAGCCAAACAGATCTAGAAAAAGAAAGAATTCGGAATCTGAGAAACTAGACTAATATAATGCTGGTGAAACAGAAATATCAACAGTAAGAAAGAGTAAACAGCAAAAGAAACTTCCAGCTAAAGAACTGGATCCTGGTATATCTGAAAATCTTAAAGGAAGACAAGGCAAAGGAAAATCTACTAATATTGAAATGTGTAGTATTTCAAAAGATGACCAACATATTTCTTTGAAACCCAGACGTTTACCAATTATAGGTAAAGAACAATTAAAACAAGAAAAATATATTTTACAAATGGATTTGGATGCTCATAAACAACAAGTTAGATCTTTGGAAAGAAAACTTTCTGTATCAGAACAAACTGTAGAAATGTTACAGAAGCAACTATCAGAAGCAAAGAAGGAAGTAGAAGCTGCAAAACTTTCAGATGAGAACCAAAGATCTCATCTGAAATTTTGCATCCTATCTGAGAAAGAAAAAGAAGTTCAACATGTTAAACTGAAAATGCAAGAAAAGCTACCTTTTGAAAAGGATCGCATGAGAAAAATTATGGAGAAGTGATTATTTTCCAAACAAGAAGAACTTGGAAAAGACACGAAGAAACAAATATTTAAAGTGCAAGAACGAAATAAGAAAGCGTATAACACATATAACCTTCGAAGACGTTCTCCAAAATGCTATGAAATTAAAGATTTAGTATCAAAAGAACGCAATTTGGATCAAACGTTAAGTTAAAATCAAAGTATTTAGGCCCGTATAAGATTATCAAAATAAAGAATAATGTCTCCTATGATGTTGTAAAAGAAGGAGATCATGAAGCACCCACTAAAACAAGTGCATGCACTGAATACATAAAACCATGGACTTAAGTAGAAGATGCATAAAATAATACTGATTATGACATTTAAACCTGGCGTGACAGAACTGATAATCGAACTGTGATTTTTCACCTAATAAAGACTTTTATTTCAGTTAATGCTATTTTTAAGATGAAATGAAGTTTACCAAAAATGTTAAAGATTGAAGATATTTTTCGATTTAGATGAAATTTTCTGAAAAGTAGAAGGGACTGTTGACGATATTATAGTTGCAAAGATGAAGGACAATTAAGATGTTTCCTTTCAATATTGTCCTTAGCACATCCCCTCTCCTTTCATATTTCTTTTTAGGTTTCGGCTTATTCTTTATGATGGTTCTTTTACTGAAGACAACGATGATGTAAGATGACCAATGATTTATAATGTCAAGAATAGAATAATGTTGTCGAGGTCGACGCATAGCAGGAAGGCCGAATGTGGGATTTTAAATCCGTAGCTTAATATTTTTCCTCGCGCACTGTCTAAATTTTAGCTGTTGATTGCACGAGTGAAATTGATAGAACTCTCGCCACTTTGTTTTTTGAGAAGAGATGTAAGATGTTGTTTTATAGATGTAAGATGATATAGATGCTGTATTAATAGATGAACGATCTTATAGATGTATTAATGTTTCATTAAATGTGTTTTGTTTGAATATGAATTGTGATTGCCAAACTAAAGAACCCACACACACACACACACACATATATATATATATATAAGGTATCCAGAAAAGTTCTTGCCGTTTTGGACAATCAGGGAAAAAGTCATGAAACAAACAACAATCACTGCTAATCCTCAAAGCAATCATCATTGGCCTCCACTGCTTTTGCCAATGAGTGGCTAGCTGTGTAGAGCCATGGTGGTCAGGAGTCTTGGATGCAAAGAAGTTCGTGAGGGTCTTTTTGAGGTCTGGCCGGTTGTTGCAGGATTTCCCACAAAGATGGTTGTCCAGGGAATGCAAAATGTGGTAGTCTGTTGGTGCGAGGTCTGGGGAGTATGGTGGATGGAGTAATGTCTCTCAGCCCAGTTGCTGGATGGTGTCCCTGGCTTCCCGAGCCATAGACTCGCATTGTTGGAGGAGGAGTAGACCCTTGAGGTGATTGACCAATACTGGCTCTTTATGCATCAGTGCCTGAAGCACATGTTCTAACTGCTGCAAGCACAGGCCTGCCATGATGGTTTGGCTCACTGGCAGGAGCTCATTAGTGCACCACTTGGCAATTAGTGCACCAGATACTGAGCATGATCTTGCATGGGTGAAGAGAAGGTCTCGCAGTGTGAGACACGTGGTCCTGTGGTGACAACCAATGTCTGGAATGCCTGGGTGTGTCATACTGGACCCATTTTTCATCGCTGGTGAGTACTCAATCAAATATGGGTGCATTGCGGTGCTGAGTAAGCAATGACAAACAGGCAGTGACATGCTGTTGCTTGTTTGCATCAGACAGTGAGTGGGGTACCCACTTGCTCAGCTTGTATGCCTTTCCTATGCAGTGCAGATGGAGTCTGATCATTTCATCAGATATCTGGAAGTGTGCAGCAAGCTCACTATATGTTTGGCTATTCTCACTCTCTATGGCTTTCTCAGGGCCTCATCGTCCAGTGCTTGTGGCCGACCACTGTGCGGTGCATCACTAAGAGACATATCCCCTGACTTGAACTTCTGGAACCATTGCCTAGTGGTTTGTTAGTTAACGGCATCATCCCCAAAAGGCCTGGCAAATTGGATGACTTGATTCTGCTGCTGACAGCCCACATTAAAATCATACAGCAAACAACTCCAAACGAGTGCCTTTGATGCACCCATTTCAATCAATTGCTGTGTGAGTTATGTTTGAAGTACTGATGCAATGCACTTTTATACTCTTAGTCAATGTCTGGACTCCCATCCGAACCACTTTATCGCCAGGTTTGGCGACTATTTTTATGTTGGGGTTCACTCTTCCAATATCATATCAGAAATGCCAAGAACTTTTTTTTGTTACCTTGTACAAATAAATCTGTAAATTTCATATATAAATAGATACATCTGTAAATTTCATATATAAATAGATACATCTGTAAATTTCATATATTAATACAACAGTTGCATTGACCATATAATAAAAGATATAAAATATGTGACAGTTATACTAACCATAAATAATATAACAAAGGAATTGTGATATATAACATATTAAAACTTAAATTCTTCACTAAAAAAATCTACATGCTTTAAAAAAAATTGATACAGTAGCCATCTTTTTGTATCCCAAATAATTCTGCTAAAAATATACATTTAAATTTATTCTGCCTTTTTATACTTTTTCCATACTCCTTTGTTTTTTTTTCCTAGAATTTTTTTAAATGACAAGAAATTTGAACAACTTAGGCTAAAAGTTTTATCTGCTTTTTTGGATAACCTTCAGCACTATGTTTAAAACCTTTGTATCTGCAAGATATATATATATATATATATATCATCATTCTAAATTAATACCAACTCATTTTTTTATCAGGAGGAGGTAATCCATAATATCTATGTTCAAGTATCATTCCTGTCAGTCAGTCTACTTGAATATATGTTTAGTTTAATTTAACCACTTAACTGTTTCATTTTACTGCAATATTGTGACCAAAAATAAGCATATTTTTTATAAATAATTTTGTATTCTAACCGATTATATGAATTCAAATCAGCTGTCAAAACTGTTACAAGCTGCAAAATGCAAACTCAACTGTTACAAGCTGCAATGCTGCAAGTTGTCAAAACTGTTACAAGCTGCAATGCTGCAAAAATGCATTTATTAATTTAAGATAATTTTTAATTACGGCAAAATGAAGGAATTTTTATTTAAAGTTGGCTTTTTTATCACGAAATTGCAGAACTGGAAAGAACACTTTACAGGAGATAAATGTGAAAGAAGTGAATTTGCTGTGAAAGAAAATCCCGGCTGTTCCAGAGGAGAATTACCAGTATCCATTTCTTAAAAGTTCTGAACCTGAATTAAACAATTCTGAACTTTCCGTTTTTTTCATCATCACTTGAGAATTCTGATAAAGAACTTTCAGAACTACTAGAATCATTTATAGAAAATTCAGTTTCGCTACCTGATCCAATATCAGAATTATATTTTGTTGTGAGCCATTTATTGTCACCCATTGTTCTTTTATTTCATGACAGAATTGGGAAGTAATACTATTCACAAAGCCTAATACACTGAACACGTCCAAACAAACTGAATGAATTTTTTCACTTAATGAAAAGCGGTAAAATGTATCATTGAACTGATTTTACAAACTTATCTCTCCTGGAGTACTAGAAACATCTATTAGAAACACCACAAAGTAAAAAATGTCAAAAATGCCTGGGAAAATCAGTGGTTTGGTGTAGAAAAATAAACTGCTCGAATGGTGTACGGGCAAATAAAAAAAGTCTTTCTTCACGGCACCTGAACGGCAAAACAGTTAAGTGATTAATTAACATAGTACAGTCTAAAGTCTTTAATCTGTACGTCCATAATCCGGAATGATCTATAATCCAAACCTCAAAGCTACAAACTTTCTGCGCATGCGTAAATGCATCGCATGTGCATAATACGTTTACGCATGCACATTTAATGTATAACGGACGGTATAAGCTAAGCTAAAATTATCTAATTATCTATTTCAGTTAATGTTGCAGATTGCATTCTTCCTTAATCTTCTAATTGGATACGGCTTATTATTTTTTGCAGACTGTTAGAGCAATTTTATAAAAGTAAGCTTGAACTTTCGATTATGTCAAAAAGAATTTATGATTCTGGAGCTGCCAGAGGATCTACAAAGCGAAAGCATGTTTCAATGTCCATCAAACAAAAAATGGAACTGCTGCAAAAAATGGATAAAGGCACATCCTTTGTTTCTCTAACCATTCCGAAATCTGTTTATCAATTTCACGCTGCTCTGTGGAAGGGGGCGGCGAGCAGTGAACTGGAAGTTGATCTGTCAGCACTATCCTTATCTTCAGGGCAGATGTTTTTATTTTATTCGGCTTATAATTCCTTACTAAATGTAGTATTTCATCTCGATGTACTCCGTCTTTGATAGGATTTAAATCAAATTCCTCGTCATTATAAATATCACGAATACACATCAAATAGTTTTCTGGTTGCAATTTTCTAATTTCAACTATGCCTAATGTATGCTTTACGCATGAGCACGTTGAAAGAAATGTTTAATAAAGTAAACAAATAAATATTAAGCTTTTTTTTTTTTTTTTTTTTTTTTGTAAATTTTGATACCCTTTAGATCATAATTGCTCTTTATTTCATAAATTACGGTTTCATATTTTTAATTTTATAATTTCTGCATGCCATCTTAGCAGATTTAAATTGATCATCTATAATCCAGAAAAACCGATAATCCGGAATCGCCGAAGTCCCGACGAGTCCGGATTAAAAACTTTTGACTGTATTTGGAATTTATGAGTCTACAAATACAGCTATACTCTCTTCATAACTATAGTACGTTACTAAATTTTTATTGTAGTTTGTCAAACAATAATCTTTATCACTGCACCATACCAGTCATTACTTTAAGATGAAAAAATAAATTGACTAAAAACTAGAAAAACAGAAGAGTTCTTTAGCTAGAATTTGTATATATATCCAAACATCCTTGCAAATAATTTTAATTCTGTGCTTCTATACATCATATTCAACTATACTTTTTTATTATTATTTTAAGCTGAAAATCAATCAAATTTCCTTAATTTACAAGAAATGACAAAATATTTACTGTGTGTGATACAGACGAATAAGGTGAGATCTCAAGATCTATATATTTAAAGTTACTATAGAGATTAAAATATCATATATCACACCCGAGAAAATTTTGATACTGACCTGAATGAATCAATGCTTCCATATACTCTCTTAACTTTTCTTGTTAATGGACTGTCAAATGAATTCTCCAGAAACATGGCTTTTGTTTTAAGTTCTAGAGATGAAATAGAATATGTGTAATACAATTTTTTAATAATTTTATTAATTATTCCTTTCAATAATTTGTTAAAAGCTTCATGGGTAGGAATAAGCCTAAAACTAGTTTAGAAAGTCTAAAAAATTTAGAACTTTTGCTCACATTTCCAGTATCAAATATTTCTCTTAATGTAGTTGAATGGAACTTCTGTAAAAATACATTTTGCTATCTTTCTTTGGTAGAATAACATTTTGTAAAAAAAAAAAAAAAAAAAAAAAAAAAAAAAAAAAACATTTAGAATTAAAAAGAAATTTACATTGTTGATTCCATAGTTTGCACTATTTTGGAAAGGCAAATAAGAATTAAAATACATATATGTCAGCTGTTCTTGCTGCCTCCCTCCTCTGCTTAGGTATAGCTATATGTTTCCTGATGGCTTATTATGAAAAATTTGGCTTAATATTAGAGAAAAAGAACTTAGGTTAACATCAATAAAATTTCAGCTACATGGTTATCATATCATAACTTATTTTTAGGTTAAGTATTTTGCCCCATTTTGCAGTTTGAAATATTCAAATTCTCAATATTGTGTGATTTTTAATCCTCTAAGTGTTATGGATGTAAAAGTCTGTATAGAAAGGTGATTTTCCAATTCAATACACATGAAAAATTTTGACAGATTTTAATGTATCTGATTTCAGGTTGGGTGCATACTGGAATAAAAGGAGTTACAGTACAAAGTTAAAATGTCGTTTTCAAATTATAATCAAGAAAATTCTATTTATTCATGACATTCTGAGAAATTTTTTAATTTCAGAAAAAAAAAAAAAAACCACAGCGTCGAAAGGGTTAAAATTTAGCATTAATATATGGAAATATTTCGATCTCATTAATTTAATCAGGAAATAACAGCTAATCAAATATTTCAAACATTTTCAAAGCTGAAAAGGAAAAGTGTTCTTTACAATGAATCTTAGATGCTGCTGCTGTAATTAAGACTTGAGGTTATGCGTAAATAAAAAATAAATAAAAAATGGATAATTAGCATTTTAAAATCTTAAACTGCTCCTTCTGCACATTTACTTTACTTCTACATTAATTTAATTTCACTAAAAAAATATGCCAAAAATGTGACTGGTGTTTGTTCATGTGCACTGGCTGCCTTGTTGTAAATTGTGAAGGCAAGCATACCAACTAAAGTTTTCTTTCTTTTTTTCCATCACTTCTCAACAAAGGAGATATTGATAAACAAGTGGAATAAAAACTCAACATCAAATTTTAGCGAAATTTGGAAAAATCTCTCAGGAAATTCATGAAACATTGCGGGAATTTTTTTCTGAAGAATAAAGAGTGAATATGACCAAATTTATGTAATGATGCTCCATCTCAACAATGATCTCATAATGACTGTTTGCTATTTTGATAGCCTCACTAGATCACACTACCTCTCATCAGATTTGGCCCGTTCAGAATTTTTTAATTTATGAAATACAAAAGGGTCATGTGGGAGTGGCAATGGAATGATATGGAGATAAAAAAACCTGAAATGATGAGGCAGGTGAAAAGCTTGATTTCTGAAGACGTCCAAGCATAATCTGAACAAAAGAAACACAAATGGAGTAAATGGGGAGCAATTTGAAGGAAATAAGGTTGATGTACCCTGAATTTTGTAAAATAAAATTTTTATGTCCTAAGTTTGCATATTTATTTGATAGATTCTCTATGTTATCAAATGCTTTTTCTAAAACTATAATATAAATTCTAAAAGTAATTTGCTATGTTACCTTATAACCTGCTAATTGTTTTGCTTGATTATAGCAAACACAGGTGAACGAGTATTAATACTGAAATCTTATTCTGATTTAGATGTCAGCTCTTTGGCTGCAACATGAAGATTACTTAGTTTAATTCTTTTGAAAAATCCTTCATAAAAATGTCTCTCGATAGGAGAGAAATGCTTTGCTGTTTTGCTCTTCAATTTACACTTTATCTTCAGGTACTTTCTTATAATACTACTATTAGGCTATATGAATAATAACCAAAAATTTAATTTCTGTCCTCCAAAAATAAAGTTTATAATTTAAAAAACTAAAATTATGTCATTCAGAACTGGCTTTTAATCAAATTTGGCTGCCATGTATTTATAACATTTTTGCGAACAACTCTGCCAAAATAAAATAAAATGATATATAAATAGTTATAATATTCTCTCAGATATAAAATATGCTTTGCTTCACAGTCATATAATACTATTAATGAAGGTAAGAATTTTGTCATTGCTTTTAAACAAGCTCAGGCCTCAATTGGCTAAGACAGCTGGAATACTGGTAGTTCAAATGAATTCGAATCCAGGAGGTTTGAATTCACTTGACTATGTGGTTGGTTTTCATGGTTTTCTCCACACATAATGCGAAGGCTACTTTAAAACCTACCATTCTACCTTAAAAAGTCTTTTATGAAAGCATTCCTGACCTTAGGCAGATAACCTTTGTGTGCTTTGCCATATCCAAATAACCTAAACTATCTCTGCAAAATCATGATGTCTGTAAATTATTATTTGCATATTAATATTAAAACTTTTTTTAAAATCAGTAATATGTATATACTAGAATTAAGCTAAAGGTAATGAAATCAACTAACCATGAATTCAATTTAAACAATTGACATACAATACTCATAACATCACACACAATACTCATAACATCAATATTAATGCAACAAACATAAAAAATGCCCCAAACATACCTGTTTCATTATTATTAATACCAACAAATGCATGTTGTTGCATCCCAAAATTCTGAGCATCTCGCAGTTGTTGCTGAGAAAAATATAAAGTTTACCAAAATAACTATTAAAACTGTTAACAATGTAAACATACAAGAAAAGTCAAATTATATTTTCTTGGAAAAATTCATCTTTCATTTTTAAGACTAACAAAATTTACTTACCTCCAATCTTTCAAGCTGAAGAACTAAGGAATTCTTTTCTGTACTTAGTGCTTCAACAAGGGTTTGCTTTTGGATGAGGTTTTCAGTTAGAGCATGAAGACGAGACTCTAGTTCATCTTGGCTCACAGAGCTGAGAGATTTTGCAGTAAGCTTTTGAATTTTTAGTAAAATGTACAATTACTATTGTTATTTTGTTATTGTTTAATTTTAATTCATCAGATAATAACAAAATATATTTTGGCAAGTTTCTGCAGATTTAAGAATATGCATGACCCAATATATCTAATAAGTAAAACTTGTATATACATAAGTGCAACTGCCTTCAGATATCATGAGATGTGACCACTCCAAATATTATTGATTTGGAACAGAAGAAATTCTTTTCCTGGCCATTTAAAAGAAAATTATAAGTATAATGATACTATTTCTTAACACATTAAGCACCATGTCAATCATCGATGACTAACACCATACTTTCCATTCAGACCATGCCAATCACTGGTAACAAACACTATACTTTCCGTTTGGATTGCATCAATTATTGTTGACTGACAACATACATTTTGCTCGGGGCTGCATCATTCACTGTTGGCTGACACTACACAATTTAGAAAATGATATTCTTCTATCAAATTCTACAAAGATCTCTGGGCACCAGCTCATGTGAAATCAAATTTTGCAGGCTGAACAGAAAGGAATATAAAACACGCTTAGAGTTTCATGTATTAACTATGCCTATCTCTCAATTTACATGGAAGATAGGTTTCGGACAAAACCGTGTAAATTGAAATCTTGGATTTTGCTATGTAAAACCGTATAAAATGAAAAACACACTAAATGTATATAATTTAGTTACTTATTTGCGTAAAACAAAAGTAAGACATCTTAAAATAAATAAAGTTATACTTTTTCATAAAATAAATATATTTAGGTAATAGAAGTATGCATTTTATTTATTTTACATTATGAAAATATTAGATCATTCAAAAAAATTATTATAAGTTTAATCACTGTCATCACTTTCATAAACTATTAGTGTTTCTTCTTGATTGGTATGATATCACTTTCATCACTTGAGCATTCTTGATAAGATTCTGTTTCAATGGTTGACGAATGGGAAGATCTCAGATTGACAAGACTTTGAGTGAAATCCGTAGTTAACAATTGCCTAGGTTTTTTTTCTCAAATCTTTCTCAACTTCCTCATATTGATTTTTTCTCATATTGATTACTAAGCTCTCATTGGAATCGGAGAGCTCATTCAACATTTATGTTAGATTGTAAAAAATGATTACCTAATTTTCTTCCCAAACTCCTACGCTGATTAGTGATCTGAGAATATTCATGCTCTAATGGTAATCTATCATTCTCAATCTTTAACAGCATCTGGCCATACTGCTTTCCAGCATGCGTTGAGCGTTGATTGTTTAATCTGAGTATTAGACAGTCCAATATGCTTATCACAATTTAAGATTGTAAATTTCTTCCAAACATCCATAAGAGTAAGAGATTCATCATTCTCCATTTGCTCTAAAATACACCTGAAGGTTTGTTTGATATACAATGCCTTAAAAGTCAAAATTATTCCTTGATCTAATGGCTGTAATAAGGAATTTGCATTCTTTGGTAAAAAGACAACGTCTACATTTTCGTGTTGTAAATCTTGAGGATGACCAGGTACATTATCAATTGATAAAAGAGCCTTAAAAGGCAATCCCTTTTTACTTAAATAATTTTTGACATCTGGGACAAACATATTATGAAACCATTCATTGAAAGCTATGGCAGCGACCCATGCTTTTTTACAAGCAAACCCAATAAACGGGAAGGTTATTTGTGTTTATTCCTGTGTTATGATTTGTTAATAACCAATGCTTTCATTATATAATCGCCTGAAGCATTGCAACAGAAAAGAATTGTTATACGACTTTTCCTTACCTTATGACCACTAGCTGATTTGCAAGCTTTAGCTAAACAGGTTCTCTCAGGCAATTTTCCAGAATAATCTGGACTCGTCGCCACTAATGATGTGATCAGAAGTATAGGAATTGGCAGCAATGATTTGAGCAGATTTTGCTAGGTACTGTTGTGCTGCATACGAATCAGCAGATGCACTTTCTCCTTTCAATCTTAGATTATGCAAAGAATGTCTTTGTTTAAATCTCTCAAACCAACCATAACATGCGGAAAGAGATACCTTTTTTTTCATCTGATGAAGTTGACAGTGCCCGATTCTTAAGTGCTTTATAAACTTGAAAGCTTCATTTGTAATTGCATTAGTATCAACTGGATCCATTTTTGATTTTGGTCTTGTATCCATATCACTATGTCTTTTCCATATTTTTCATTGTATCATCTCTTACACATGAAATTGTGTTCTTACTGCTGCAAGTTCCAGCTGCTACACTTTTTCTAATAGAGTCATCACTTTTTTTTTTTTTTAATTGTCTTTCTTGTGGCTTCATTCCTGGAGTAAAATTTAGCAACATCTGTTATTCTTTCTCTATTAGGTAGACAATCTAATATTTTAATTTTTGTTTCTAAAGAAATAACTTTTCTTTTCTTTGATATTATTTTCAAATCTTTTGGCATTATAAAAGCTTAAAAAATTTACGTAAATTATAAAAATGCCACAAAAAATATAAATGTTGAAAACTTAACCAGTAAACATTCAAATATGTAGACAAAAATTATGTAAGCTTTGCTACTAAAATACTGATATTGCACTAGTTCACATGAACCAAAAAAGCTTTACTATTGTGAAATACATATACATACTAGGAGGATTCCCCATTTACAACACGTAGAATCCCCATCCTTGTTGTTGCCACCAGCGTTACCAAAGGAATGAGATTAAAAATTGTCTTCAAATATATATATTTACATATATGCAGCCGAATATACATTTTTACCAAGTTTTTGAAATCTGTTAATTTTTAAACCTGTAAAATGAGTACCGTGTAAATCGAGGGATAGGTGTAATTCTATTTTTTTATCTGAAAGGGATCACAATGATTTATGATACATTGAAGTAATGTAAAGTACTAATAACAAATAACTACACCTTCAGATTACTTTCTTTAAATTAAATTTAAAAAAAAAGATTAAAAAGATTTTATTATTAGTGCAAGAGTTTTGACACCTATTTTGTATTTTAAATACTTACCTGTCTTCTAAGTTTCTCAATTTCGATTTCTCTATCTTGTAACCTACTATGGAAATTACTTTTTGCTCTTGTCAAATCTTCTCTCAAAAATTGCATTTCCTGTAGATGTAGAGAAGGGATTTTGATATATCAACGTCATATCATTACAAAGTTATATTTTAAAGGAAAAAAAAATAATGTGCAATTAAATATAATAATATCATTGCTTAGCTAAAAACATTACTCATATGAAACTAAATAACATTTCAGAATTTTGAAGTCAGATTTTAATCAATAAAACCTGAAATATTTTTATTTATAGTCACACAAATAAAAAGTTATGCGCATGAACATAATATTAGCATGATGATATTGACTTCAATAAGAGTTTGCTTTTGTTTACAATCTCCCAAATTAATTTTAATTAATTTTATGTGCCCAGCACAATTAAAAAAAAAAAAAAAAAAAAAAAAAAAAAAAAAAAGATACAATTTCATCACACATGATGAAGTTATTTGTATATATATATTAGTAATTAATATAAATGTATTTATGTAGGAAAGCTGATTGCATCAATGTTGATCCAAAATGAAGAGCAAACTTGGCAGCTCGAGGCATGTGAAATATTCATTTTTATGTCAATGCACAGTACTTGAAACACAAACAATGTACATTTCCATAGCAACTGCAGAAATGTTATAAAATAGGGAGTGAACTTTATTTCATGAACTTATAAGCAGCACAGCCATCAATAAACCAAATTTTAATACCTCAAGTGTAGCAATAGATATAATACAACACATATTAACCACAATTCTGCTGTTCTATAAGATAATCACATATTCACCATAAAAGTTACTTTCTGGACCCAAAAAATATTTAATTAAAAATACACAGACAGATGTTTAAGCAAAGAAGTAGATAGCTGTACTTAAAAATGAATGAAAAAGGATTTTTTCAAAGACACAGTATTTTCATTTTCCTCCTATTGCAAGATTTCAAACGATTCCTTATATAGAATGTGATACTTTTATTAAATTTTTTTTGCAGAATTAATGACCCTTTCTGATTTCTCTGCACCCACAATAAAAAGTCACAAATAAGTACTCATGGGGCAGAGCAAGAAGTTGCCAAATTAGTTATATGGTAACTCACAATGTCGCCAAAAAGCATTTATGTGGCAACCCAGGTATGCACGTAGCATATGGCTATTTCATTCAGAGCATAATGCCGAAATTGTATGATGTTAAATACGAGCAATTCCCTGATGTTTTTTTACATGAAAACAGCTGGCAGTGTAGATAGAGAGCACAACAGTACAAAAATGAAGAATTTTTCTTAAAAGATGTTTTATTACCAATGTTTCTTGCTCTTACAATTTTATTACAATTGAATTATTATTTTTTATTACTTACAATTTTATTACTTACAATTGAATGCCCTTGTATGGAATTCGTAGTGCACTGCCATTTTGAAAATGGCTGTTGCCTTTTGCAAATAAGCTAGGCAAAAAATTAGTTGCCAATGATTTTACGAATGCTCTCCGAAGTTGGCAATGATTTCAAAACTTTTCGACAGGGGTGCAAATAATCTATTTGAAAGTGCACAACTAATTTGTGATATTTTTCAATAAAACTTCCTTCCCATATATGTTGTTTAATTTATTATGAGGAAAAAAAGAAAAGTATCATTAGTAATATTAAATGTCCTCTTAGAAAACTTTTCAAGTTTTAAAATTTTTTCTACAATTTACTTTTTTTAAGCCACTCAATAATTCAGAACAATTCAATTAATAGTACTTTTGAAGTTTAAAAATTCCACATGATTAATTGTATAGCTCCCCTTCCCTCTCCCCCCAAAACTCAACATTTTCCCTTTTATTTTATAAAAGAGCTTTAAATAAACTTTTTATAATAGGACTGCATGTACAAAATCAAAGATATATTTTAAATCCTCCACTGTATCTTTTGATTTCATAGCATAAACACTAAAATCACACAGTTTAATTAAATTTACAAAAAAGCTAGCAAATAATGTGAAATGCTTAATCAAATGTTATCCTAGAAGGTAAATTTAACAACATCACTAATTAACTTCGTTTTTCACAACCCCACTGTTAATAAAAAGAAAAAAAAAAAAAAAAATCCATAAAATCACCATCTGCCTGAAAAGCAAATGAAAGTGGGGTTGAAATTGAAAAGTTTCAGATTTTAACAGTCACCCAAAAGGGTTTGTTAAGATTTTAATGCTCTCACTGGGCTTGCAGTCCACCAGTCTGCTGCTACACTCACTCTAACTAAACTTTTTTTTTTTTAGTCTTTTTGGATTTATTATTAAGCATCTTCTTCGCATTTTACACCATACACAATTCAACAGTAAAACTACAAAAATTTTAAATGCAGCATAGCAGTATACATTTAGAATTCCCAATGCAGCATTAAGTGTAGGCATACAATTTTCTGTTCCCCTCCTCAAGTCTTTTCATAACAATGCTCAGTTTTCTAACTAATATGATTTTACAAATTTTTTTTTGTCTTTTTATTATTAGCATTTTGTGTGTTTACTTTAGTCATCAAATATTACATTCTTGGTGCTTACATCTGATAAAATTTGATTCAACGGCAAAATCCCAAAATATTAAAAAACAGCTTATCTTTAGAATTTCCATTAGATAATTTTGCAAGCTGGAGATAAAAATGTTTTATTCCATGCAGTGTTGCCACTGTTTGTTTTGACGTTGTTGAGTTTGTTAATCAATTTTTTTTTTTTTTTTTTTTTTTGAGTTGTACAAAATATGAAATAGACAACAAAAGAAATTCGAAATTCTAAATTCGGCTTCCAGGTGTCCGTATTCGGATGGAGGACTACATTATCCAAAACTGGATGCCTCTAGGTTTAGTTGTTTTTTCATTATGCAAGAAACATAAATGAATTCATGCTGATTCTTCATTATTTAATTTCTTTAAACATAACACAGGGTGATAATATTTGGCGGCAACAACTTGAAAAGTGATACAATGCATTTAAGTATTTTGATGCAAAGGCAGTTTCGAGATGTGCTTTTTAGACTAAAAAACAAAAATTACTTAGTGATAAGCATATCTGTTCATATGTTACATATTAGAATATGAATCTGTAAACCTATGAAATAGGTATACAGACCATTCTTACCCAATCTATTTCTGCTTAAGTATATTTCTTCAATTTATTTTACTTTCTAAAGAAAATGTACATCCAAAAACTGTAAATTAAGAAAACTCAATTATTTTAAGCTTAAAGTAATAAAAACAACTTACTTCCTTGAGCTGGTTATTTAATAAATGCATCTCTTCATTTTGCATTTTTTCCATTTCAAGCTGTTCCTTTAATATTCGACATTGCTCTTGAGCAGAGGCCAAATCATTTTGTGATATTTTCTCCATTTCTTGAATCTCAGATCGGTATGTTTCAAGTAATTCATTTGCTCGTCTTAGTTCTTCTCTAAAAAAATCCCTTTCTTGTTTTATGCTTTCAATTTCAGCATTTAATAAGGCAGAAGATGCTTCATTCTTCTCAATATTGTTTAGTTCAAGATGCCCTTCTTTTATACTTGAAATCAGTTTTTCTTTAGACTGAAAAATACTTCACATATTAAGGTTTAAATTTATTAATTTTATAACAACTTAAGAGTTCAACACATTTATTTATCTTATCATAAAGAATATTTTCTAAATGAGATATAGTACATAACTAAACAATTCAGTCCACTTTACTAAACACACACACACACAGACACACACCCCCCCCCCAAAAAAAAAAAAAAAAAAAAAAAAAAAAAAAAAAAACCTTTGCTTACAGACAGTAACATTAACAAGATAGTTACAAGTCAGTAACATTAAATAAATATAATTTTTTTTAAAGTAGCATTTTATGAAAGGAACTCACATTTTCAATTTTGAAATGATTCAAAATGTTATGAAATATTGTTCTCCATACTATGATGGCTTTTCTGCACTTTAAGCAATTTTTAAACTTTTAAGAAATATATAAATAACCCCAAAAATCACAATGAAAAAATGTAATGAGCTTACTTACAGTTTTATGACAATAATAATTCAAAATAAATAAGTAACATTAAAATACAATTATCACACCATAAAATGACACACACAATGAAACATAACAAAATTACTAAAAATTATACAGGCATAAAGCGGTAGTTTTCTGACAGTTTAAATGTAAATCGGAGGAATTCAAATTAAAAATTTAACCCTTTAATTTAATATAATAAACTCGGTATAAAATTCTTCATTATAGATTGTGATTAGTATTAAATTTAATTAATATTATATTCAGAATTTAAAAAAGTTTATTACATTTGAAGTTAAAATAATTTTTTATGTTTGTAGAATATTAAGCTTTTGACTAACTAAATATCTATATTAACTATATTATATAAAAATATATTAGTAGGATTTAAAAATTAATCTTCACAAGAAATTAAAAAATAATACTCTGTAAGAAATAAAAATTACATTTCAAGACAGAAATCAATCACAACAAGAGAAACAAAAAAAAAAAAAAAAAAAAAAATACTTGTAAAATTCTTTGAGCTTTCTGCTTATAGTCACTATATTCTTGTTGGATCATTTCAAGATTTCCATTAGCTGCTTTTAATTGAGACAACAGTTCTTTATTTTTCTCTGGAATTGAAATTGCATTTTTAAAAAAATTATATATTAATTAAACAAGGTTATAATAAAACATTAAAAAATACCGATAATTTGTTTTACTTATATGAATTTTAATAACACACTAATAATACTAACAAAAGTCTTTTCCCTATTTTTAGTTATGACTTTATCTTCTTTATCATACATTTCATGGTTCCTAAGTCTGACTTCTAGAAAACAATGAAACTCTACTATGCCATCTGTGACCATGTTACCATAAACATGTAACCCCCAACCCACTGCTTGTGCATTATTTAAGCGATATAAATTAATTCGTTTACTTTTCTCCCTATATTTACAATTCAGATCCTTGCCCACAGCACAATTTTCAGAGTTTATAGGCCAAAGGATCTACAAAGCGAAAGCATGTTTCGATGTCCATCAAACAAAAAGTGGAATTACTGCAAAAAAATGGATAAAGGCATATGCCATAGGTGGGGAACCTGCGGCCTCCGCGAGGTTCTTGTGCGGCCCTTTGCCACCTACTACAAAATGGTAGAGCTCGTTTCAAACAACTATTGTACATCAACGCCATGACAGTTGCGCGAAAAATCCCGCCAAAGACAGTCACATTGTAACATGACGTCAGAATACTAGTCTGAAACAGACTCTTAACACGCATGAGCGAGGCTCTGGCCCACAGCTAGCAGCGCCAACTACCTTGTCTAAGAAGTAAAACTCGGTTTCAGATCTCCCATTTGAGTGTCACAACTTGCTTTGGCTTCTCTGACTCGCATCTCTCAACGCTTCCCTGTTGCGATCTTCAGGTAACTGTAGTTAACAGTGTGTGCTTATAACAGGTACACGGTTTTATTGTATTTCTAGAAAGTACACACTTTGTTAAAGATATTATTTGATATTCGGTTTTTTATCCATCATGTCAAATAGTAAGAGAAGAAAATTAGGTGATGAAAACAGAACATTTAATGTAGAATGGGAGTTAGATTTTTTCTTTACTGCTGAGAAAGATAAAATGATGTGTTTGTTGTGCAATACAGTTTTAAATACTTTAAAAAAGCGAATGCAAATAAACACTATTTGACTCATAAAGAACATAAATATTTCGCTTTAGAAGGTGAATCACGAAAAGCTGCACTTCAAAAGTTGAAAAATGAGAAGCATCATCAGCAGGCATCTTTTAGTGCCTTTGTAAATCAAAATTCCGCTGCAATTGCTGTTACGTATAAAATAGCACATATACTTGGAAAAAGGGGCAAACCATTTAGTGACATTGAAATAATTAAAGAATGTATTGTTGAAGCAGTGAGTATGTTAGATCCAAGAAATGTCGACAAATACAAACAATTACCTCTTTCAAGGAGAACTGTAACAGATCGACAGCACGAATTAGCGCAAAATGTAACAGAGCAACTTCATGCAATTATACAAAATGAAGATGTTTATTTTTCAATTGCTTTAGATGAAAGCACTGATAAAGCAGATTCGGCACAAGTTTTATATTTTATTCGTGCTATAATTAAAGATTTTCGATGTTACGAAGAACTACTTGTGTGGGGTACACTAACTGGAAGAACTCGCGGAGCCGATATTTTCGAAAACTTCAAAGAAGTATGTAATAAATTACAATTGAATGTCAGTAATTTAGTCAGTGTCTGCACCGATGGCGCACCTTCCATGAGAGGCAAAAAAGGATTCGTTGCTTTGTTAAAAAAGGAAAACTTTAAACTTGAAAAAATTGATATCATTTCACTGCATTTTGCATCAGCAAAATCTTTGCGCAAAATCTACCATTTTGCAAGACACTCTGGATAGAACCATTGCCATTGTCAACTATATTCGCGTAAATAGAATGCGTCATCGTGAATTTCGGCAGATGCTCTCTTTAGATGAGGAAACGTATAGTGTTGACCTGCCATACTACTGCAAGGTTCGCTGGCTATCAACAGGTCAGGTTTTGATAAAAGTTTTGTCTTTACGACGACAAATTTTAAACTTTTATAAAGAAAAAGGAAAACAATGTGATCTATCAGATGAAGTATTTCTCAGAAACCTTGCATTTTTGTCTAATATGATGACAAAACAAAACAATTTAAATATTTGCCTGCAAGGTGAAACGAGGTATATTTATGAAATCAGGCAAAAGATCCAAGCGTTTAGAAAAAAATTATCATTTTTCAAAACATTGCTTTGTCGATCGGAAACATCTACACAACATTTCCCGGAGCTAGCTAAAATGTTAAATGAGCAGAACTGTGAAAATAAAATATTCGATGAATATGTAGGTGTCTTGGATTGTTTAATAGAAGAGTATACTAATAGATTTTCTGATTTTGACAAGCGCACTCCTGCTATGAAACTGGCATTTGAACGACATTTAATAGATATATCCGAGGCTCCTGCAGAACTACAAATGGAGTTAATTGATTTAGGGGAAGATAGTATCATCAAATCCCTTTTTAACGCTAAAAAGGATCCCATAGAAATCTGGAAAAATGCTGTTGAATATCCATGCCTTCGAGAACATGCTCACCGTTTACTTTCCTGCTTCGGAAGTACCTACTGTTGCGAGACAACATTTTCTCTCATGTCAAAAATAAAAACAAATTTAAGAATGCAAATTACAGATGCACATTTAGAGGATCAATTAAAGCTGTGTGTTATGAAGCTTGATCCAAATATACAATTACTGTCAAACAAAAAACAAAGCCAAATAACTCACTAACTTAGTGAATAAAAAAATATTTTTTATTGTATTTTTTATTTTTATATTATTTTATATGTATATTATATTTAAAATTTTCTAGTATTATATTTTATTTTTTCTATATAATGCAATAAATTGTTTAAATCTATAGAAAAACTATAATAATTTCACAAAGTCACTTTCTTAGGTCAATCAGCTTATGCGGCCTCTCTTATTGCTGCCTAATTTAAATGTGGCCTCTAATGGTAAAAAGGTTCCCCACCTCTGGCATATGCTTTGTTTCTCTAATCATTCCGAAATCTGTTTATCAATTTCACGCTGCTCTGTGGAAGGGGGGGCGGCGAGCAGTGAACTGGAAGTTGATCTGTCAGCACTATCCTTATCTTCAGGGCAGATGTTTTTATTTTATTCGGCTTATAATTCCTTACTAAATGTAGTATTTCATCTCGATGTACTCCGTCTTTGATAGATTTAAATCAAATTCCTCGTCATTATAAATATCACGAATACACATCAAATAGTTTTCTGGTTGCAATTTTCTAATTTCGACTATGCGGAATGTATGCTTTACGCATGAGCACGTTGAAAGAAATGTTTAATAAAGTAAACAAATAAATATTAAGCTTTTTTTTTTGTAAATTTTGATACCCTTAAGATCATAATTGCTCTTTATTTCATAAATTATGGTTTCATATTTTTAATTTTATAATTTCTGCATGCCATCTTAGCAGATTTAAACTGATGATCTATAATCCGGAAAAACTGATAATCCGGAATCGCAGAAGTCCCGACGAGTCCGGATTAAAGACTTTTGACTGTATTCATTTCTTTCTATCTTTTTTTTCTGTGTCAAAATCAAGCTTTTAACTGCCAGATTCTTACACATCATCATTCAATTTATATTGTTCATGCCACTTATGGCTACACTGACTACCAATTTCTAGTTTCTTAATGCCATCTATGGCTAGACTGATTTCTATACTCAAGTTGTTAAATAAATACAGTTAGTGAAACAATAATTAATTTCAAACTAAATCAAAATTTTAAAAGGCTCTACTCTTATATGCGCCCTAATATCACCAAATGTAGCAATATGTGTTCTGCATTGCTTTTTGGCATGATTGCGTATTGTATGGCAACCCTGTTGACATTGAAAAATCTTTTGCTGGAGTCATTTAATTATTTGTTGGTTCGCGTTGTGCGTGTTTTGAAATGGCCTATGTTGCAATGATAGATGTGGTGGCAAGATTTCAATTGCGTATTTTAGATTGTGTGGAAAGTAAATTTAGAATTAAAAGGTATGATGTTGGAGTTGTTAATGAGTTTTTTGTTCACGTGTGTGTATATGAGGATTGTGTATTTTTGGAATTTCTGTGGATGTACGAGGAAGTGTATTTTTGGAATTTCTGTTGGACTTTTAAAACGGAGTCTGAAATGCGAAGCTGCTATGAGAACTCACACAAAGAAGGGCGTTTCTGATAGTTCTTGTGTAAATTTGCAGTCAAATGGTTTCTGGTGAAGTATGTGGCTGTCAGTGGAGTTTAAGATTTGGATTGTGGTTTTGGTGTAGTAAGTTAATTTTGGAGGATGTTTTTTTCGTTACTTTCGAAATTTTGAATCTCCGAAAGACATGTGATATAGCAAAATCGTGGCACTTTTCTTCAGACGTAGTGTGACTGGCGATATTTTTATTCAGGACAGTATTATGGTAAGTGCATTTTATTTTACTGTTTTTATTTTGTAGAATGGTATGTTCATTGTACTAGGAATCAAGGTGTGAGTAGTTCGTAGATTCCTTCGCTGCCTAGAATGTGCAATTTGTAGATGTTTTTTCAAGTTAAAATATATCGCTGTGTACATAGATTCTTGTCAAATATTTTTGGTTAGAAACTTTACATTTTTGCTAACTAAATTTTTTGTTTTTGTTTCGGATTTTTAGCTGAAATTGTGACTTAAAAATGTGGTTTTTGGAGACATTTCAGGCTTAAAATTCGAAATGTAGACAAAAAATTTAGGTACAGTCAAAAGTCTTTAATCCAGACTCATCGGGACTTCGGCAATTCCGGATTATAGATCATCAGTTTAAATCTGGTAAGATGGCATGCAGAAATTATAAAATTAAAAATATGAAACCGTAATTTATAAAATAATGAGCAATTATGATCTAAAGGATATGAAAATTTACAAAAAAAGAAGCCTAATATTTATTTGTTTACTTTATTAAACATTTCTTTCAACACGCGCATGCGTAAAGCATACCTTACGCATAGCCGAAATTAGAAAATTGCAACCAGAAAACTATTTG